TGAGTAGACATGGGCATGAGCCGAGCCTGGCTCGGCTCGGCTCGTTTGGGGTCGAGCCGAGCCGGCTCGCCGGTCAAGCCGGCTCGGCTCGCCTCGAGCCGGGACCTCAAAATCCCCGGCTCGGCTCGTGAAAATAGGGTCGAGCCGGGGCCGGCTCGCCGGCGAGCCGGCTCGGCTCGGCTCGTCAGGGGGGCTTGTGTAACCTCTCAAGAAGGCCCACTGTTTTTGGGGACTCTAGTCCAGGGGATGTGCCAGATTGTGATTGTGAACAACTGCTGCTCTGTTTGGGGCGCCAGTACAAGTCTAGGTGAGCTGGAAAGTCACAATAATTTAATTCAGTACCATGGAATGGAAGTTAAGAGTGCCCCTTTGCCAACAGCATGTTCTCAGCGCAACCAGACGCAAGCTAGCAACCACCCAACCACATGGTTTAGCACGCAGCCTACAGCTCCTCCACCCCGAGCTTCTCCGTCTCTTTGATCCACCCTGGCTTTAACAGGGAGACACCAGGGTGCGTGCGAGTCCATGACTTGAGTGTCATAGTGGCTCGCACGCTCTCCCCAGACAACCTCTGCCTATGGCGGGTGATCACATTTCGGCTCTGACTGAAAACACGCTCGCTAGCTGCCGATGTTGCTGGTATGGCCGGGTAATCCCTGGCCATAGCCTGCAACACCGGCATATCAGACCTCTCGCGCCAGTACGCCAAGGGGCAACCGTCATGCAACTCCCCCTCAATGTAACGATCCACCTCATCCCGCACCGTGGCCCCCCGTCGTGCTGAGCGCGTTAACAGCTTGGCGTGGAGAGACTGGCTCAAGCCACCCCGCACTGGTACACCACTAGCATCTCCACCCTCAACCCCCCCCCCGCCAAGCCCCCCCCCCCTCTGCCCCCGTCCTGTTGCTGTGCCGCCTGCTTCAGCCGCTTACTGTACTCAGCAAAGCGAGCCCGTACAAGGGTCAGCACCTCTGACGGCTTGAAGCTCGCCACAGGCCTGCCCTGCTGCTCCTCCTCCCCCTCCTCCCCCTCTCCCCCCTCCTCATCCTCCTCCTCCTCCTCGTCCTCCTCGTCCTCCTCGTCCTCCCCCTCTGCGCCCTTCTCTGAACCCATCTCCTCCTCCCCCCTCCCCGCACCAGCGGCACGCACAACTAGCGCGCGTGAAGACCCGGCTAGTCCGCTTTCCACGCCCACCCCGTTTGCCCCCTCTCCCTCTCCCCCAGAGCGGGTCTGTCCCTCCATCCACCTCGAAGAACACCAGCCTCATGCCGGGGGTTCAAAAACGTCGCCACCACGAGCTCATCGCTGCTGCTGCAATAGTACCGCTCCAGCACGGGGAAGGCGACGCCAACGAGCTGACGGCCGATGAGGCGGGGCGATGGCCATGCCTGCAAGGTGTCCATCAGTTCGTTGAACTGTGGCACAACAGCAGATGATGTGGGGTAGGAAGAGCCCTCGGCCGCCACCGTGATGGAACTGAACGGTGCCAGGAACTCCGCCAGGACATCCAGCGTGTCCCAGTGCGCGTCGGTCAGGCGCAACGCGACGTACTTCGCGCGCTCTTCAGCAGTCTCTCCCTGGGAAGTGAGCAGGGGTGCATGGGGGGGGGGGGGGTTGTGGGGATACCATGGGTGTGGCGGCATGGAAGGAAGTGTCACACAAGGGGTGCGTAGGAGCATCCGTGCACGCAATGGAAGCAGTGGAGTGGGCTTTTGTAAGGAGGGTACCTGCTCCACTGCGAAGTGCGCAGTGAGGGATCGGCGGAGCCTTAATGCACGCGCGACCAACTCGTGCGTGCTGCCCCAGCGAACCTCGCTGTCCTGCACCAGGCGGAGGACCGTCCCTTTGAGGACGGGGTCGGACCGCTGCTGCGCTTCAAATTCGCGCGTGCGCCTCTCACTCCATCCCACAAAGGTGGCGATGTCGCGTAGGAGCTTCAGCGGCACCCTCACCGCTGGCAGCTTCAGCGCACGCTGGACTGCAAGGTAGGGGATGTGCGCCAGGCAGCTGCATGTTCCAAGGCGCACAGAGGGGGGGGGGAGAGAGGGGAGGGAAATCCTTAAGGACCCTCCATGCCATTGAGAGGGGAGGTGTGGATCGTCTGAACAGCAGCACACTATGTGGACAAGACAAGGGCTGCAAGCTCGCCACGCACTCACCGGAAGTGCATGCCATCTGCGAGGAGAGGCGTGGCCAACGCATGACAACCAAGACCGGCGAGGCGACGCATGGCGGCTGTGTTGCTGCTGGCGTTATCCGTCGTCACCCCCATGCAAAACCCCACGAGCTCCCACTCCCTGATGACTCGCGCGAAGACGTCTGCAATCAGCCGCCCTGTGTGCCGCGCTCCCAGCTCCATAAACTCCAGTGTACACTGTCGCAGCTGAAAATCCCTGCTAATGAAGTGCGCCGTCACTGTCATGTACCCCCGCCTGTTACCCCCGGTCCATATGTCCGTTGTGAAAGAGACACGCCCGCTCCCGGAACCCGCCCCAAACTCCGACTTAACCACTGCCCGTGCCGCCTCAGAGTAGAAGCGGAGGTCCCTGGAAACGGTGGTCCGGTCGGGTATGGGGATTGCGTCACCGCATTGGGGGTTGCATACAGCCAAGAGGCGGCGGAACTGCCAAAAGTAAACGAGAGGGGGGGTGTGGGGTTTGGGGGTGTTTAGTGCCATGCGGGGGGGGGTGGGGAGGAGGTGGTGGTGGGGCGGGTGGTTCTTTTGGTGGGGCAGATCCAGTAGGTTATAAGGGGGGGGGGAGTTGGGTTACACAATGACCACAGGCTAAGGGAAGGGTGGGGGGGGGGGCTGGTGGGGTGGCTCGCTTACCGCGGGGTCCTCTACGATGCGAAAGGAGCTGTCGGTGCTGGCGATGAACTCGACGATCGCCTGACGCAAACGCGGCTCCGACACACGTGGGCCAAGGAACCGGTCCATCGTGGGCTGCCTCGCGTCCGCTGCTGCCGGGGACAGGGACGGGATGGTGGCGCCGGGGGGGGGGTGCGGCCAGGTCTTGGACCACTCGTTGGGCGCCTTCCCATCAGGGACATGTGGGTATCCCCCCATCGGAAATGACTCTCCTGGCTCAAGACCCTCGACCACGCGCCGCTGCCATATGTCCCAGTGTGGGCGATGGTGTCTCGCCATATGTTTGGCACCCGTGCTGGTCTGGCTGTCCTTGAAGCCCATCGGCTTCTCGCACATCTTGCACACTCGCTTTCTCTCGCTCCCCAAGAAACACTCTGCCACACGCTTGTTGCTCCTCTTTGCTCCAACCTTACGGTTCTTTTTCTGTCTTTTCCTTCCCCCCTCCTGCTCAACGCCTGGGTCCACATCCTCAGCCCCATCCGCACGCCGTCCCCTGCCTTGACACCCAACGGACGGAGCAGCGCGCTCCCCCCCTCCTCCCCGCCCCTCCTCCCCCCCTTTGTGCCTGTCCCTGGCCGTGGCCCAACCCCACTCCCTTCCTGACGCTGTCTCTTCCCCCTGGCGCTCTCGCCCCCCCTACTCCCACCCGTTCCCTTCTTGGACCGACAATCCCCCTCCCCCTCCTCCTCCTCCTCGTCCTCCAATACCCATCCCTCCATCTCGTGCTCATCCTCCTCCTCCTCCTCTTCCTCCTCCTCATACTCGCTGCCGCTAGATTTTCCGCTCTCCCGCTCCTCCGACTCGCTCCCATCCCTCTCATCGCCACCGCTCTCCCGGCTGCGGCCCCGTTGTGCGCGCTTGAACCTCCTCCCCTCCCCCTGGGCTCTCCCCCACCCTCCCCCTCGTCCCATCCCCTGCCGAGAGAGGAGAAAATCTGTCCACTCCTCAGGCATGTGGGGCATGGCTCCACCTCCATCGGTCTCATTCGCTCTCGAACTCACACCCCCCTGGTCCCCCAACGCCTCATCTGTGCCCGCTACACGATCCCTCCCCGGCCCCCCTTGCCTAGCCGCCGTTGCCTTGGTCTTTGCCATGTGCAATGCAAGTTCGCGCACCCCCAAATGCGTGCGCTTAACCTAATCAAGCGTTACCAAGCGTGCGCATACCACGAGCCAAGGCCTTGGTGGCGCGCCTAGGGCTGTCGCGCATACCACGAGCCAAGGCCTTGGTGGCGCGCGTAGGGCTGTCGCGCATACCACGAGCCAAGGCCTTGGTGGCGCGCCTAGGGCTGTCGCGCATACCACCAGCCAAGGCCTTGGTGGCGCGCCTAGGGCTGTCGCGCATACCACCAGCCAAGGCCTCGGTGGCGCGCCTAGGGCTGTCGCGCATACCACCAGCCAAGGCCTCGGTGGCGCGCCTAGGGCTGTCGCGCATACCACGAGCCAAGGCCTCGGTGGCTCTCATTATAAATAGTAGTTCTTACGTCTTTAAAAATTAAACAACGTGCTGCAAGTTTGGTTCTGGCTGAGGGCGAAAGACTAGGGCGATAGGCTAGGGCGTTATGGTGAGTGAGATTAGGGTTGGTTGACGAAATGAGTTTGGGGGGGGGGAGTTTATCGATTTGAATTTTGACTGTCGCGAAACCCCCCCTTACCCGAACCGCGAGCCAGCTGGCTCGAATTCGAGCCATTTCGAGCCGGCTCGACTCCGGCTCGCCTGGTGTCACCTGCGCGAGCCGAGCCGAGCCGCCGGCTCGAGTCGAGCCGAGCCGGCTCGGCTCGCCTCGAGCCGGGCACCAAAAAAAAAGGCTCGGCTCGCCTTAAAGGCGAGCCGAGCCGAGCCGAGCCAGGTGTGGCTCGGCTTGTGCCCATGTCTAGTCATGAGGTTTACAAACACTTCAAGCTCTTGCTTCCTGAGCCTGGATCCGCGCAAAGGTACGAGTGCAAGGTTTTTTCCCCTTCCCGGGAATTTTCTCCCCTGCCCGGACAAGCGTATACCTAGCGTATACCTGGCCCCGAAAAAGCGTTCAGCATGTATACGCTAGCGTATCAAACGCCATACGCGTTTATTGCAACTTAGCATTCAAGACATACACGCAATTTCAGTTGTGTTCCCATCCCATGGTACTGACAGGGAAGTGAGGCTGCTCATGCCGCCAATGGTAGATGGGATCGACCCAGTCAATGCATTATAACCCAGATCCCTGGTCGTGCATGCAAAGAAATTAAAGGGTTGATTGACTGAAGCGGAGGAGGGGGAGAAGAGAAGTGGATGGATGGGGAAGGCGAAAAGGGCATGACGTAGTGGTGCACTATTGTGACAAGAGCATTATGAAAAGGACAGGGCGCAATGGCAGCACATTTCATCAGGTGCAAGCTAGTGCACGCAGAGCAATCTTACACCGAAACCCCTTGGAACAGGAATTGGTAACACAAAATGGAACAATATGTCACAAGCAGTGAAGTAAAGAGGCACCTTAAAAAAAAAAACTTGCAAATCTCACAAATAGCCCAGATTGAGGAGATTGCCAATGCCTGAGGGTAATGATCCACTAAGTTTGTTCCCATGGAGATCTCTGGAGACCATTCAAAAAGGAAGGGGAGTAAAGGATGGGCGAAAACAAGAAAATTGTTAATCAGGGTCAAGATTGTGAGCGAGGAAAGATGAGCGGGTCATTGAAGACTCTTCAACCACAGTGCCACACGTATATGCATCACAAACGAACCCATAGGCATCTAGGGCAAGGAACGGAAGAGGAAGACAAGGACAAGAGACACAAGGAGACAAGAAAGGGAACAAGGATGTTTGAAATGATCTGGATCAGCGGTTGCTGTCGCTCACTGGTAAGTCAGTCAGGTCAGGCTTCTATCAGTCAGACCATATTAATCGGCCGGATTTGGATTGTACCCATACGTGCATGCTCGTACACCAGATTAACTGTTGGTATTGCTCACAGGTTAGTCAGGCTGATCATGCTGCCGATACCGGATGGGATGGATCCAGTTAAGCCTTGGTTATCTAGAACCCTGGAGGGCAGTGGAGTTTATTACATGAGATGGGGGGATTAATGGAGGAGAGAAGAGGATAAAACAGAGGAATTCTGGAAAGACGTGCAGGTTAAATAAGTGATATTGGGTTGGTGCACTCACATGCTGGTGATCATGCCCCGTGCATCGCACGTCACATGGCTGGCAAAGCCGCAGCTCCCCCCAGCCACCCACCCAGAGAAGGTCTGCCCCCACGCCTGCTGGAAGTCCAGCAGGATTTGCACTGAAGGCAGAGGGAAGTGGGAGAGAGGGAGGGGAAGGGGCAGGAGGGAGGAGAGGGGAAGGAGGGGGGAGCAAGAGGAGGAGAGAGGAGCGGGATGGAAGGAGGAAAAAAAGGAGAAGGAGGTGGGACAGAGAAGAGGCAAGGGGGAATGAGCCAAACAACTCATATTAACAACCTATGACATTCCCTTCCTACTCCATTCCTATTCAGCAGACGCAAATGTGGAGGAAGGACACGTGAAGGGTCCATGCCAGTCCACGGATCGTTGGGAAACAAACAGCTCAAGGGGGATAGAGCTCGTTCTGAGGGGGTTAACGTGGAAGAGGCACTGCCTCACTTTGGAGGGACGAGGGTGGAGGAGAGGGTACAGCAGAGGGTGGTGCCATGGCGCATGTGTTGCAGAAGGAAGGGCATTGTCCGCAGAAAGAGCTTGGTGAAAAAAAAAGGCATGGACAGGTTAGCGTACAGCGTTTGTACGCAAAACGCTGTCTACGTGAAAATGCGCTGTAGGCTCGTGGTTGTTTTTTCGGGCGCCTGCCGGAAAATGAAATTGGAAAGCAGATCGCGTCTCGTCGCGGTGATTCCAACCAAATCGCGAACTCGACTTTGTGGCAAAAAAACAACTCCTCAACCCCAAAAATCGTCCCCAACCGCACCCCATCTCACAGCAACTGATAAAACCCAACCCCTTTCCCCCTACTCCCTGTACTCACAAACAGCCAACTCGTAGTCCCAACATCTTCTGTACTCCTCTCCTACGACCAAGACCTAAACCTAAACCGACCACATTTCTCTCCTATGACCAATTCCTACTAGTAGCTAGCCCGCACCTTTTAACCTGCGATTTTCTACTAGCGGTTTCATATCCCAGCCCTTACCCTGAGCGCGTTTTTTTCCACTTAGGGTAGGAGGGAGGAGCGGGGACAGGTGGTAGGGGACTCGAGTTGGTTGGACTGGCCCGGGATCGTCACCATGTTGAGTCAACGCTCGTTTCCGTTCGTCAACTTTTCGCCCGGGAAACCAGGCTCCACCCAACGGGCGTCTGGCAGCGCTTTGACAGCAACGTACTTTGGGAGGCGGCGTCCGGCGCACAGAGGACGGGAGAAACCGCCACGAGACACGTCAGCAGTACGAACAGCGCGCCGAGCCAATGGCTTCCCGCGCCAGCCGCGCCCGAGCCCATGGCGGGCCTCCTCATGGCGGGCCTCCTCACGCACGATGCGTGCTTCCTGGGGAATGCAAGCGGCTTGCGAATAGTCTTCCCTCCGCGAAGCTGCTGGGTGCTGCTTCGCACGGAAAGAACAAGAACCGCAACAGTGACGAGTTTGGAGCCTGGAAGGCGTGCATGTGATAGATTCGTGCGTCACAAAAATGTGGATCTCACCTATATTGTAGGTATAGTTGTGCGTATAGCAATGGCTGCACTAGGTCTACGTGTACTGAACTACTTTCAATGGCTGCATGCAGGCGAGCGAAGCAATGAGAGGCGAAGCGAGAATCTGAGGAATTGAACAAAACACGCTGGTGCGCAAATGAGAGGGCGAGAAGGGAGATCCCATTTCGCCGAGAATGATGCCACGCAGGCATGAGGTTGGTAGGTGACGCCAGCAATGCGGCGAAACGCCATGGCGACGACGAATCTGTAAACGACATCGGAATCACCCGCGAGAAAGTGCATCTCGAAATCTGACGATTTGCAAGTTACCCTGATATTGAATGCCAAGGTGACGTGGAACGTACGGTGGCATGCCAGCAGTCCGAGTCAGTGTGGATCTGGAGAATTGCAGGCTCTGTTGACGAATACCGCCCTCAGCCCCTAACGAAACATAAATACAGAACATCTGCAACCACCCCAAGGACTATCTGTGTAAACAAAACCTTCTGTTCCCATGGCATTTGGAACAAATACCTTAGGTCTATAAATCAGAAATTCACGTTGACATTGTCATGAGAAAATCCCTGTTCTACACATTTGTAGACGAATTCAATGAACCTATGTTTTCTGCACGAGCTATCTCAGCATCAAAGTCCTCGTGACCTGAGGTGTCAATCTCATTGTCAATGTAAGATGCAGCCCTGTTTGCCTGTGCTCCCAAAACCTCCTCCCTCATCTTCACCAGCTCTACCAGCACTTGGCTCATGGCGGGGCGGGAGGCACTGGGCATGGCAGTGCAGGAGAGGGCAAGGCGGGCCAAGCGCAGCACGAGATCATCCGGTGCATCTAAGCGAGGGTCCTTGAGTGCCGCCACTGCGTTGGATGCCACCAATGGAGCCACCTGTAGGGTTGAGATTACATGTCACAAGGTTATTTAATCTTTAAGGCTCTGAAAGAGTCCATGGAGCATGGTTCAGTGTTACCACGACAACAAATTTGACAGTACATGGTTGTGGTAGAACAAAATATTAGGTAACGGATTGCATTGGAAGGATGGCTGGGTAGATGCAAAGAATGCTAGGAAGAGGAGCAACAAGTTGTGAAGCGATAGGAGAACTAGATGTACCATGTCCATACATGGTGAGGCAAGAGTTGTATGTTCATGTTGTCAATATTTTTCTACCTTTGTCACGCCCATTGCTGGGAGTTTGGCATACAGAAACAGACCACTTTACCTCAGTGCTTAGTGAACTTAGCTAAGTGCTCAGGTCTCGGTCGCCTATGCCCCACATCTGAATGCCCACCAACAGGTGTCCAGGCCGTTCCAATTATCTTTCCAGCGAGGGAGCGGGCGAGAAGGTAGAAGCAATTGCAGGCCTCACCAATTTTGGAGGAAGGCTAGAAGCATAAAACGAAGTGCTGAAGGAGCAAGGATTGTAGCAGAAAAGCGTAAACACAATCCCCCTCCTGTTGCTGCTTCTGTCAATTACATTGTCCTTATTGCTCATCTATAACTCTGTGTGTCTCACCCATTGCTTGAGGTTGATCTGCATGTCCCCTGCCACATGAACCGCCCTGCGTGCCGTAATGACCACCAGCATCAACACTCCGAAACTGCACACCCAAGCAACCAAGAAAGAACATCAAAGACTGAGTTGTGCTGCCACGCAACTCATACAATCATACACAACTATTCTTAACGTTTTGCTGCTTTTGAAGGACTCCATGTGGTCCATCCTCGTTACAGTGGTCCCCTTTACCATTGAAACTTCTCCACTTCCCCTTTAAGATTGGCCCTTCATCACCCAATTCACTCAATATAGCAACCAGGTGTCTGATTAGGATAAGGCAGTCATGTGGATATGCACTGCCACAAAGTGAGAGACAAACCTCTCCTCCTGAGCACATCTGCTCACCTGCGCACTGCACGTCTGCTCACCTGCGCATCTGCACTGCACATCTGCTCACCTGCCACGAAACTCATACACAACTATTCTTCTCAACGTTTTGCCACTTTTGAAGGACTCCATGTGGTCCATCCTCGTTACAGTGGCCCTCAACTTCCCCTTCATCACCAAATTGGCCCTTCATCACCAAATTGGCCCTTCATCACCAAATTCGCCCTTCATCACCAAATTGGCCCTTCATCACCAAGTTCGCTAAATTTTGCAACAGGGTGTCTGATTTAAAAAAGACAGCGATGTGGGTGTGAACTGCCACGAGGTGAGACAAACCTGCCCATCTACACACATCTGCCCACCTAGGCACATCTGCCCACCTAGGCACATCTGCCCACCTAGGCACATCTGCCCACCTAGGCACATCTGCCAACCTAGGCACATCTGCCCCACCCCCACCTAGGCACATCTGCCCACCTAGGCACATCTGCCCACCTAGGCACATCTGCCCACCTAGGCACATCTGCCCACCTAGGCACATCTGCCCACCTAGGCACATCTGCCCACCTAGGCACATCTGCCCACCTAGGCACATCTGCCCACCTAGGCACAACTGCCCACCTAGGCACATCTGCCCACCTAGGCACATCTGCCCACCTAGGCACATCTGCCCACCTAGGCACATCTGCCCACCTAGGCACATCTGCCCACCTAGGCACATCTGCCCACCTAGGCACATCTGCCCACCTAGGCACATCTGCCCACCTAGGCACATCTGCCCACCTAGGCACATCTGCCCACCTAGGCACATCTGCCCACCTAGGCACATCTGCCCACCTAGGCACATCTGCCCACCTAGGCACATCTGCCCACCTAGGCACATCTGCCCACCTAGGCACATCTGCCCACCTAGGCACATCTGCCCACCTAGGCACATCTGCCCACCTAGGCACATCTGCCCACCTAGGCACATCTGCCCACCTAGGAACACCTGCCCACCTAGGCACATCTGCCCACCTAGGCACAACTGCCCACCTAGGCACATCTGCCCACCTAGGCACATCTGCCCACCTAGGCACATCTGCCCACCTAGGAATACCTGCCCACCTAGGTACATCTGCCCACCTAGGCACATCTGCCCACCTAGGCACATCTGCCCACCTAGGCACATCTGCCCACCTAGGCACATCTGCCCACCTAGGCACATCTGCCCACCTAGGCACATCCGCCCACCTAGGCACATCTGCCCACCTAGGCACATCTGCCCGCCACCTAGGCACATCTGCCCACCTAGGCACATCTGCCCACCTAGGCACAACTGCCCACCTAGGCACATCTGCCCACCTAGGCACATCTGCCCACCTAGGCACATCTGCCCACCTAGGAATACCTGCCCACCTAGGTACATCTGCCCACCTAGGCACATTTGCCCACCTAGGCACATCTGCCCACCTAGGCACATCTGCCCACCTAGGCACATCTGCCCACCTAGGCACATCTGCCCACCTAGGCACATCTGCCCACCTAGGCACATCTGCCCACCTAGGCACATCTGCCCACCTAGGCACATCTGCCCACCTAGGCACATCTGCCCACCTAGGCACATCTGCCCACCTAGGCACATCTGCCCACCTAGGCACATCTGCCCACCTAGGCACATCTGCCCACCTAGGCACATCTGCCCACCTAGGCACATCTGCCCACCTAGGCACATCTGCCCACCTAGGCACATCTGCCCACCTAGGCACATCTGCCCACCTAGACACATCTGCCACCACATCTGCCCACCTAGGAACATCTGCCCACCTAGGCACATCTGCCCACCTAGGCACATCTGCCCGCCTAGGCACATCTGCCCACCTAGGCACATCTGCCCACCTAGGCACATCTGCCCGCCTAGGCACATCTGCCCGCCTAGGCACATCTGCCCACCTAGGCACATCTGCCCACCTAGGCACATCTGCCCACCTAGGCACATCTGCCCACCTAGGCACATCTGCCCACCTAGGCACATCTGCCCACCTAGGCACATCTGCCCACCTAGGCACATCTGCCCACCTAGGCACATCTGCCCACCTAGGCACATCTGCCCACCTAGGCACATCTGCCCACCTAGACACATCTGCCCACCTAGGAACATCTGCCCACCTAGGCACATCTGCCCACCTAGGCACATCTGCCCGCCTAGGCACATCTGCCCACCTAGGCACATCTGCCCACCTAGGCACATCTGCCCGCCTAGGCACATCTGCCCGCCTAGGCACATCTGCCCCCCTAGGCACATCTGCCCACCTAGGCACATCTGCCCACCTAGGCACATCTGCCCACCTAGGCACATCTGCCCGCCTAGGCACATCTGCCCGCCGAGGCACATCTGCCCGCCTAGGCACATCTGCCCACCTAGGCACATCTGCCCACCTAGGCACATCTGCCCACCTAGGCACATCTGCCCACCTAGGAATACCTGCCCACCTAGGTACATCTGCCCACCTAGGCACATTTGCCCACCTAGGCACATCTGCCCACCTAGGCACATCTGCCCACCTAGGCACATCTGCCCACCTAGGCACATCTGCCCACCTAGGCACATCTGCCCACCTAGGCACATCTGCCCACCTAGGCACATCTGCCCACCTAGGCACATCTGCCCACCTAGGCACATCTGCCCACCTAGGCACATCTGCCCACCTAGGCACATCTGCCCACCTAGGCACATCTGCCCACCTAGGCACATCTGCCCACCTAGGCACATCTGCCCACCTAGGCACATCTGCCCACCTAGGCACATCTGCCCACCTAGGCACATCTGCCCACCTAGGAATACCTGCCCACCTAGGTACATCTGCCCACCTAGGCACATCTGCCCACCTAGGCACATCTGCCCACCTAGGCACATCTGCCCACCTAGGCACATCTGCCCACCTAGGCACATCTGCCCACCTAGGCACATCCGCCCACCTAGGCACATCTGCCCACCTAGGCACATCTGCCCACCTAGGCACATCTGCCCACCTAGGCACATCTGCCCACCTAGGCACAACTGCCCACCTAGGCACATCTGCCCACCTAGGCACATCTGCCCACCTAGGCACATCTGCCCACCTAGGAATACCTGCCCACCTAGGTACATCTGCCCACCTAGGCACATTTGCCCACCTAGGCACATCTGCCCACCTAGGCACATCTGCCCACCTAGGCACATCTGCCCACCTAGGCACATCTGCCCACCTAGGCACATCTGCCCACCTAGGCACATCTGCCCACCTAGGCACATCTGCCCACCTAGGCACATCTGCCCACCTAGGCACATCTGCCCACCTAGGCACATCTGCCCACCTAGGCACATCTGCCCACCTAGGCACATCTGCCCACCTAGGCACATCTGCCCACCTAGGCACATCTGCCCACCTAGGCACATCTGCCCCACCTAGGCACATCTGCCTCTGCCCACCTAGACACATCTGCCCACCTAGGAACATCTGCCCACCTAGGCACATCTGCCCACCTAGGCACATCTGCCCGCCTAGGCACATCTGCCCACCTAGGCACATCTGCCCACCTAGGCACATCTGCCCGCCTAGGCACATCTGCCCGCCTAGGCACATCTGCCCCCCTAGGCACATCTGCCCACCTAGGCACATCTGCCCACCTAGGCACAACTGCCCACCTAGGCACATCTGCCCCCCTAGGCACATCTGCCCACCTAGGCACATCTGCCCACCTAGGCACATCTGCCCACCTAGGCACATCTGCCCGCCTAGGCACATCTGCCCGCCGAGGCACATCTGCCCGCCTAGGCACATCTGCCCACCTAGGCACATCTGCCCACCTAGGCACATCTGCCCACCTAGGCACATCTGCCCCCCTAGGCACATCTGCCCACCTAGGCACATCTGCCCACCTAGGCACATCTGCCCACCTAGGCACAACTGCCCACCTAGGCACATCTGCCCACCTAGGCACATCTGCCCACCTAGGCACATCTGCCCACCTAGGAATACCTGCCCACCTAGGTACATCTGCCCACCTAGGCACATCTGCCCACCTAGGCACATCTGCCCACCTAGGCACATCTGCCCACCTAGGCACATCTGCCCACCTAGGCACATCTGCCCACCTAGGCAAATCCGCCCACCTAGGCACATCTGCCCACCTAGGCACATCTGCCCACCTAGGCACATCTGCCCACCTAGGCACATCTGCCCACCTAGGCACAACTGCCCACCTAGGCACATCTGCCCACCTAGGCACATCTGCCCACCTAGGCACATCTGCCCACCTAGGAATACCTGCCCACCTAGGTACATCTGCCCACCTAGGCACATCTGCCCACCTAGGCACATCTGCCCACCTAGGCACATCTGCCCACCTAGGCACATCTGCCCACCTAGGCACATCTGCCCACCTAGGCACATCTGCCCACCTAGGCACATCTGCCCACCTAGGCACATCTGCCCACCTAGGCACATCTGCCCACCTAGGCACATCTGCCCACCTAGGCACATCTGCCCACCTAGGCACATCTGCCCACCTAGGCACATCTGCCCACCTAGGCACATCTGCCCACCTAGGCACATCTGCCCACCTAGGCACATCTGCCCACCTAGGCACATCTGCCCACCTAGGCACATCTGCCCACCTAGGCACATCTGCCCACCTAGACACATCTGCCCACCTAGGAACATCTGCCCACCTAGGCACATCTGCCCACCTAGGCACATCTGCCCGCCTAGGCACATCTGCCCACCTAGGCACATCTGCCCACCTAGGCACATCTGCCCGCCTAGGCACATCTGCCCGCCTAGGCACATCTGCCCCCCTAGGCACATCTGCCCACCTAGGCACATCTGCCCACCTAGGCACAACTGCCCACCTAGGCACATCTGCCCCCCTAGGCACATCTGCCCACCTAGGCACATCTGCCCACCTAGGCACATCTGCCCACCTAGGCACATCTGCCCGCCTAGGCACATCTGCCCGCCGAGGCACATCTGCCCGCCTAGGCACATCTGCCCACCTAGGCACATCTGCCCACCTAGGCACATCTGCCCACCTAGGCACATCTGCCCCCCTAGGCACATCTGCCCACCTAGGCACATCTGCCCACCTAGGCACATCTGCCCACCTAGGCACATCTGCCCACCTAGGCACATCTGCCCACCTAGGCACATCTGCCCACCTAGGCACATCTGCCCACCTAGGCACATCTGCCCACCTAGGCACATCTGCCCACCTAGGTCCTAGGCAGATCTGCCCGCCCAGGCACATCTGCCCGCCTAGGCTCATCTGCCCGCCTAGGCACATCTGCCCGCCTAGGCACATCTCCCCCCCTACCCACATCCGCCATTGGAATGGCCTTGTGAAACTTACAGGTTGTATCCACATAGCCCAGTGTTGCCATCACTCAATAGCAAGTAGGAACGCAGCCATGGGGTTGCCTTCACTCACCTGTGCACATCAGCTGGTGGAGTGGCCTTGTGAGACTTGTAGTAGGCGGGGTCCACATAGCCCGGTGTTCCCATCACTCGAGTGGCAGCCACAGTCGAGGTGCCCATGGAAGTGCCTCCACTCAGCTTCACAAGCCCAAAGTCTGCAACCTTGGCCTGCAAAGCACCAATCGTAGAAGCATTACTATGCATTGTAAGTAGAGTTTGGGTGGCTGCTCGGGCTTACATGGCAGTTGTAGAAAATGGACAAGGGCTCGGGAGGCATCTGGCCAAATGCAAAAGGTTGTGAACAATACTGAACATGCCTGCATCTTGGCATCGAGCAGAATGTTAGCTGGCTTGATGTCGCGGTGCACAATGCCAAAGACATGCAGGTACTGCAGCCCCTTCGCCGCTCCAACCAGCACGTCCAGCCGCTGCTGTAGAGAAAGATGGTTGGAGACAACACCGGTTGCACCGATCCAGCTCTCGAGGTCTTTGTTCTCCATGAGCTCGTAGATTAATATCTGCTCCATTTTTCGCGTGGCGGGGTCAAAGTCAATGCAGTAGCCCAACAGCCGCACAAGATGGGGATGGTGCTTGCTTGACATCTCCTTCACCTGATAGGGGAAAGAGAATGGGCGGTGACAAGATGAAAGGACGGGAACCCTTGCAGGCATAGATCTGCGTTGGAGTGTGGAGTGTGAGATCCGGCAGATGTAAGGGGCTAGCAAATCACGGGCCGCCGACATTCCCATGGTGGCCGACAACCGCACCGCACGGGGAAAAAAGACCATTCAAGGTGGCTCTTCCATCAAAACAAGGTACAAGTGTGGGCAATACTAGACTCGGGCACTCGAAATGATACCTCTGTTTGGAAATCGTTGGTGAGCACTCGTGCTCGTTTGACTGCCCACGCTTGGTTGCAATCGTGGGGTGACACACCCTTGTACACATCCCCAAAGCTGCCGCTGCCAATTCTGTTTCCCTCCGCCCAGTCTGCTGTCGCCTGTTCCAGCTCTTTAAGAGAGTACTCCCGACACACATCTGGCCGTGCTGCCTCCCTATCTACCAGAGCACCATCATCCTGTCCCCTTCGTGCTGCTGCTGCTGCTGCTGCCGCCCATCCTGCTTCTGCATCCTGCTTTTCTTGGTGTGCTCCTGCAAAGAAATATCAGTAAGATTCAGTGGTGGAAAGGAAGAGACAGAGAGAGAGACATAGTGTGAGAGAGACACATAGTGAGAGATAGAGAGAGACACACAAAGTGACAGAGAGAGAGACGTAGTGAGAGAGAGAGACGCATAGTGAGAGATAGAGAGAGACACATAGTGAGAGATAGAGCGAGACACATAGTGTGACAGAGAGAGAGACGTAGTGAGAGAGAGAGACAGATAGTGGGAGAGTGAGACACATAGTGAGGGATAGAGAGACACACATAGTGAGAGATAGAGACACGTAGTGAGAGATGAGACAAAGTGAGAGATAGAGACAAGTGAGAGGAGCATTCTGTGAGAGTGTGATATGGAGGGAGCCGCCTCGTACTAGAGCTCTCTCTCTATGGTTGTTCAGCCCAGTCTGATCTCTTTTGGCTCATTTCATTGTTCTCAATCCGGCAGAGATGGAGGGGGTTAGGAGATTGCAGGGCCCCGATATTAGTGCTGTGGCCCACAACCACATGTTAGGGAACAACAAGAAAAACGACCATTGAAGTTGGCTCTTTTTATCGAAACAAGCAACAAGCCATTTTACGCTACACCAAAGTTAGTAAGAGTAGAGGGTGCTTGCAGTGGGGAGCATTGGATGGTGCATATTAAAATGGTCTTGCCTTGAAGTGCATTTTTTGGTGCCAAGTTCTCCCCATCCACATTCGTTCCTCCACATCCCTTTGCTGCGGCCCTTGCCCTTATGATGCGCCATTGCTTGTACAGCACCAGCCCCAGCAGCAGCAGTGCGAGGATAGCCACACTGCCACCAGCAGCAATGCCAGCTATGGCTTCTACTGAAAGGCCTCCTCCAGACTCGGAGGAAGCGGCAGGAGCTGGGGTAAAGGGTGGTGGAAAAGGTATGGCATGACAGGAAAGGGGTAGGCGACAGAAAGCATCACACAAGATAGATGAAGAAGTGCCGCTAAGAGTAAGCAAAAAAGTGTTTTTTAGGAGGTGGCTACGAATTAGTACTGTCAAGAGAAAGCAATGAAATAGCTGTGGTGTGGATCGGTCCAGTTAAGACTCATGCGCACGAGGAGTGGTTGACTACAAACGGTTCTTGCCTTTCGATCGCGCTTTCCCCAGGCGTGGAGGAACACGTGGGGAACACGATCGGGCTTCCCCACGAGGTACAGGAGAGCTAAGTGACCGAATACGCGTTTAGCGGTTCAAACGCTAGCGTGGGCTGGGTCAAACGCGTGGGCAAGTGACAAAAGGTACTAGAAGGGCAAAGAAATGGGCTGCTGGATTGCTTGGGGGGGTCGACATTGCTGCAGCTGAAATCCCAAGGTACTAACATAAGCGCTAGCGCTAGGAAGGTTTAAGTGGTGGAGTAAAGAGTGTGCTAGAGTAGCACGACATACAAATTAGGGCTGCGAAGGAAGGAGTACATAAGAGAGGGATTACGATATCTGTCTCTATGTAGAGGACTTGGAGGGGGTAGGTTGGACGCTGAATCGGGGCCTGAATGTCGACTTTGCGATGTGGCGACGAATCTGATTAAAATTGCCAAATCGCAAGGTGTCGCAAAAAGTCATCGCCTTTGTTTTCGGGGGGGCAGCCCAGCAACAATCGGCTGAGCGTATTGCGTTTTGGGGAGCATACTGCGTTTTGCGTTCGAACGCAAAACACTTGCCAGCAAAAGCACATTCGGTCACTTAGCACAAGATGGAGGAGGGGAGTGAAAGGGAAGGTGGGGAGGGGGGGACGGGGGGGGGGGGGGGGGGAGTGGGGGGAGGGGAGGGAAGGGACGTGAGTGGTGACACAAGAAAACTGGAAGACGCAAAGCATTCGTCATGAGAACGATCATGTCTCACGTATGTAGACTAGGAGATGGATCGTGTCTCACGTATGTAGACTAGGAGAGGGATCGTGTCTCACGTATGTAGACTAGGAGAGGGATCGTGTCTCACGTATGTAGACTAGGAGAGGGATCGTGTCTCACGTATGTAGACTAGGAGAGGGATCGTGTCTCACGTATGTAGACTAGGAGAGGGATCGTGTCTCACGTATGTAGACTAGGAGAGGGATCGTGTCTCACGTGGTGCTGGCCCAGCACATGTGGAGCAGAAGGAGAAGCATCTCCGGCAGAAAGCGCTTGAAGGTGTCTGCGGAACCACACAGCTGCTGTTGTCAGGTGGGCATGTGATTGCAGTTCCAGATATGCCCCTGGATGTGCACAAGGAATGTCACTCACACTGTTTAAAGAATAGGACCAAGGTTTTATCCTCTTAGTGAATCTAATCACATGACAACTGCATCGTGGGGTTGCCATTGAATGAGGCTAGAGTGGAAAAATAAGGTCTTGGTCTCGCATACCCCTAGATTTATACATTTTTCTATATCCTATATACAGGACAGTTTGTCGTACAGGTCTACAAGACTGGTAAGGCTGCCCATTGTTGGAGGGAGCTGGCCAGTGAGATTGGTTTCGCTGACATCACTGCAATGGCATGCAGACACACACACACACACACACACACACACACACACACACACACACACACACACACACACACGAGCACACACAAAAGTAGCACTGAAGCGCATTATGACTTTTGCACTCATGTTTCCCCGTGTCAAGGTTTTACGAGTACTTGGCTCCATTGATATATTTATTCCCCTCGAAGATATCTCTTAACGATTTTGTGACAGATTCATCACAATCTTATCGCAAGGTCACATGGCACATGGCTATATGTATCATACGTTAAAAAGGGGAGAAAAGGGCCTACAGCACTAAACATACGAGCTTCGTTGATTGAGTCTGGAATGCTGCCACTTATTTTTTTCTTGTCAAGTAACCCGATGGGCGAAGGCACAGAACGAGGCAGTATTGCAAAACAAGGCTTTCCATGTTAAACAAGCGAAGACGATAAAACTGGCCGTACACTTTGGAACTTACGTTAGCTAAAGGGTATCGGGGTGATGGAGGACTCAGTTGGGTATCGGGAATCTCCTCTTCTTGATTAGCTTTATGTAACAATGATGCTTTTTAGCACATACAATGTTCTCAAGTTGATGAGGCTCGCAAAGGACTGTGGGATGTCCTGCGAGATTAAGTTCGAGCTTAGACTCCTGCAACCATTAATAGCAGCAGCAAATCAAGGATGTGAAAGGGTTAATAGCAGCAGTGCATTCAAAAGATGTAGTTGCCAGGCCTTTCTTGTTTTACTTCTCACGAATTGCCTTTCCACTCAAGCTGGCAAAGGAGCAAACAGACGGTTGACCAGAGAGTGGTAAAGAGCAACTTCATGCTTCAGTTAACATACGAACTAGTTCCATTCAATCCAAACATGCAAGCTCAATTGCGTTCCTAGAGTACTGCTAGGTTGACAAAAACGCATTTGCAAGTTTGCGTTTTGAGTTTAAACGCAAACGTTTTAACGCAATACTCAAAAACGCATCAAAACGCTCGAACGCACCGCGGAATTTTACCGGGCTGACCGAAGCAAAAAACGCAAAAAAAAAAACGCGCGATATCAGAAATCGAAATTGCATTTCGCCGCGCGTCGCGAATCGACAGCACATTTCGCGCGTTGCACATTCGCGAAAATTTTCACAGCGACACATAAACTTGTCAGTCTCTCCCTCCCTTTTCCCAACGTGTTTGAATTCCCAACCCATTCCCCCTTACTAGATCCAGATCTATATGTAGAGGAGAACTTGGCTCACCTTCCATGCACAGCCACGATCTACTCCTACCCTTACGTTTTAGATTCCAGCAGCTAACCTATCCGATTTCCAGCCTCTAACATGGCGTCCTCCTCATCGCCAGTACATGCTCCTCAATCGGATGAGGGCGAGGGTTCCACCGGTGTCACCACGTTCGTCGAACAGCCCGACCATGCGATATTCAAGCACTTTAGGACGGGTGTGGCAGCGGACGGTAAGCTGACAGAGTCGCGAAAGTGTCACTACTGTCCCGCGACATTCGTTGGTGGCACGACGCGCGCCGCACAGCATTTGACGGAGTGGAACGGGATGAAGCGTCGTGGCGTCCACCTCTGCCCCGCCGTTCCTAAGAAAGCTCGTGACGAGGTCAAGGCGCATCAGGAGCGAAACAATGAGTCGAGGGACTGCAGGCGTCGTGCAGAGTCCTTGGCGCTGCAAGCTGTCGGCGGCGACGGGATGAGAGGCCGCATGACCGATTTTTTCGGTGATGAGCCCACGTGCAATCGGAAAGCTGCGGATGAGGCGATATGCCTCATGTTCGCGGCTCTTCGTCTGCCAGAGCACATCGCGGACAACCCCATCTTCACCAACGCCATCTCCTGCATTGGTCGTGCAGGCGCTTCCTATGTTGCCCCCAAGCGGCGGTACATAGGAGGTGCGGGGCTGCAGACATGCCGCACGCGTGTGGAGACAGCGCTTGGCCCCATCGCCGCCAGCTGGGAGAGGGATGGCGTAACCCTAGCCAGCGACATGATGACTGATGTGAACGGGAGGCCGCAGGCAAACATACTTCTCATCAACGACAGTGGGGCAGTGTTTGTGGAGTCGATCGATACGAACATGGAGTTCAAAACGGGCGGGTACATCGCGAGCATCCTCCGCCCGATCGTGCAGCGCGTGGGCCCGGAAAACATCGTTGCGTTCTGCACCGACGGCGGCAGCAATTACGGCGCGGCGTGCAGGGAGTTGATGGCAGAATTTCCCCACATTGAGAAGGTCCCGTGCGCCACGCATGTTTTGGACCTCCTCATGGAGGACATTGGGAAGATGGCGTGGGCGCGGGCAGTGGTGGAGAAGGCAGATTACATCATCGCCTTCGTCCGCAAACATCAGTTCACGCGGAACTTCATGCGCAACTGCAAGGTGGATGGGGGAAAGACGAAACAAGTTTTGCGGCCGGCCGGTACTCGCTTCGGGACCACCTACATAGCGGTGGGGCGCTTGACTGAGGTGCGGCGGGCCTTGACGCAACTCGTCCTGAGCAACGAGTGGAAGGATTTTGCTGCTGCAGGGGCGAGGAGGGCAGCGGCAGAGGTGTTTAGCACGGCGGTCATGGATGGTGAGTGGTGGAATGTGGCTGAAGCTTTCACCCACCTCATGCAGCTGCCATTTATGGTGATGCGGGCCACGGATTCGTCGGCGAAGGGAATGATGGGTAAGATTTACGACCTCATGTTGCAACTCACTGTGGACATGGATGACATGCTCGACAAGCATGGGGAGGAGTTCCTGAACGAGGACGAGGCGGAAGAGATCCGGGGGTTGGTGAAGAAGAGGTGGGATCAAGACTTGGTTTGCCCCTTGCACGTGGTTGGCCGGATGCTCAATCCGGCCAACCAAACAGAGGGAATCTTCCGCAAGGATAAGGAGTGCACCACTGTTTTGAAAAAGTTCCTCTCCACCCACTTCGACCGGCGCATGGTCACCCTCCCGAATGGGAGGACGGTGAAGGAATCAGTGGTGCTTCAGGACGGCCTCACCGACTTCTTCACCATGCGCGGCAGCTTTGGCCTTGCCGAGGCAATCGCTGACCGTGAGTTGGTGAAGGCGGGAGAGATGGACATGGTGCGGTGGTGGACTTGGCATGGCACCGACCATCCCGCCCTCACCGCCCTCGCTTGCCGTGTCCTCACACAGGCCGTCTCTGCAGCCGCATGCGAGCGCAATTGGGCGGTGTGGGACTCAGTCCACACCGCCAAGCGCAACCGCTTGGGGTCGGAGAAGTGCCGGGATTTGGTGTACGTGGCCCACAACTGGCATGTGGTCCACAACTGGTACAAGAAGGAGGAGGGGCTTGGGGTTGTTGCTGGGAACATCCCCGAGCCCCCCATGCCGGAGGGATACAATGTGCTCGAGGAGGAGGCGGAGGAGGGGGAAGATGATGTGCTTGAGGATGAGTATGAGTAGGATAGATGTACAAGGTCGGATGGAGGAGGCATAGATGATGGAGAGAAGATAGGTAGTCAGGAGATGTGGCGGCGGAGGGGGAAGATAATGTGATGGAGGATGAGAATGAGTAGGGGAGATGTAGAAGGTCGGATGGAAGAGGCATAGATGATGGAGAGGAGATAGGTAGTCGAGAGATGTGGCTGTGAATGTGTGTCCTTAGCGTGATGTTAATGTGAAAAGATAATTTCTGCTGTCCCCTCCTCACCCCTCTCCTCCCCCTCCCCCCCACTCCCCCTATATCCCCTGCCCGGGCAAAAATTTCCGCCTGCCCGGGCAGGCGTTTTCCAAGCGTATTTGAAGCCTGAAATCCTACGTTTTGCGTCCTGAACGCAAGCGTTCCAAACGAAACGCAAAAACGCGGAAACGCGTTTATGCCAACATAGGAGTACTGACAGGTAAGTGAGGCTGCGCATGTTACCGATGGTAGATGGAATAGACCCAGTCAAAGCGTTTTCTCTGAGATTCCTGGTGGTGCATGCAAAGGAGTTTATTGGTTCATATTCAGTGAGGAGGGGGAGGAGTGGATAGAACGAAGGGGGGGGATGAAAAGGGCATGACGTAGTGAAATGGTTGCCTTCTTTTAAAAGCTAGAGAGACGCACAAAAACACACGTTACTTTTGACCCTATGAGAAACGACATTCTTCTTCAGCAAAAAGCAAGCAGCAGTGCCAGTGCGCCACTCAAGCTGGACGTGCAAGTTCAGTTGGATTTCGTGATACTGACAGGTAACTGAGGCTGCTCATGTTGCTGATGGTAGATTCAATAGACCCAGTCAAGCCATTGTTGGCCAGATCCCTAATGGTGTGTGCAGAGCAGGGGTTCCATGGGTTACTTCATTGAAGAAGGAACGGGGAGGATTCATTGAAAGGAGGAGATGAAAAGGGCATTACAGAGTGACACAGTTGCTTGCCCTTTTGGTGAAGCTGGTGAAAATTGTGTAGAAGACCGCACAGAAAACATGCGTTGGTTGGTTACTTCTCAACCCAGTGAGGGACAGCCTTTTGTTTCAGTGAAAAGCATGTAGCAGTGCCACTAAAGCCAATCATGCAGGTTCAGTTGTGTTCCCATCGCATGAATACTGACCGTTGGCAATTATACTGACAGAAATGAGAGGCTGCTCATGCTGCTGGTTGCAGATGGAATAGAATTAGTCAACAAATTGCTTCTAAGATCCCTGATGGTGCATGCAGAAAAAAAAATCAACAGGTTAATTGACGGAGAATGAGGGGGAGGAGTGGATGACGGGAGAGATGACAAGGCCATGGCATAGTAGTGACGTTGTGGCCTTTACAGTGAAGGTGACAGAATAATGCACGGAAAACATGCTAAGTTCTCTACCCAACCCAGTGAGGAACAACCTTTTGCCCCATTAAAAAGCACTAAACAGTTTTACTCAAATCAGACACGGAAGCTCAGTTGGTGTTTCCATGGCACTGACAGGTAGGTGAGGCTGCTCATGTTGCCAATGGTAGATGGAATAGATCCAATCAGGGCATTGTAACCCAGATCCCTGATGGTGCATTCAAACCATCCATGGGTAAATTGAATGAAGAAGGGACGGGGGAGAGGGGTAAAAATGAGATGGCAATGGCATAGGTGCCTTCCGAGTTGCCTTTTGCTTCGGGGAAACAAACCCAAACAAGGAAGTTCAGTTGTGTTCCCACGGTAGAAACAGAAACGTGAGGCTCCTCATCCTCTAAAAACAGGACAGTAGACAGCAAGGACACAAAGACACAAGGGGAAGGTGGGACAATGATGTTAGAGATAGGCTGCTCCATCCAAAATGAGTGGATTGGATGTTTCACAAATTCTCAACCTTGTGATCGCTTAAAATCCCCAACCCACCCCGATTTTAAGGTGGTCGCATTTCGAAGGACTCGTCAGAATCTCCACTCCACCACCTGGGTATTTTATTTTGGGAGATTCCGTTGGCATTGGGGGGGGGTTCATCCTGTTCTATCTCTCCATCCCTCCCTTCCAACATGCTTTTCTATTCAGACCCAATTGTCTACATAGGCGATGAGGAGACAAGGAAACAAGGAGACAAGTAACGAGTAATTTCTTGCAAGAGGCACGTGAACAACTTACAACAACTGCATTAGAAGTCAAATTTAAAGAGACAGGTTTGGTCGACCTATGCGTGCATGGAGTCATACTCAAACCGGATAAGCTGTTGCTCATACGCACAGGTAAGTCAGGCCAACCATGCTGCCGATAGTAGATGGGATGTACCCGTCTAATCCTTGAGAATGTAGACTCCTGAAGGGGCGTGAGTTGATTACGTTAGACAAGGCGGGTAACGGAGGAGAGAAGGGGAGAAGGATGTTGGAAACACGTGCAGGGTAAAGAGTCACACTCGGTTGGTGCCCTCACACGCCAAGCAGGAGAGAAGTCGAGAAAGAGAGGGATTCTGGAAGGGGGTCAAATGGGGTTGGTGCACTCATGTTCCAAGGAAGGATTCGAGCACTCACATGCTGCTCGTCACCATGCCCTGCACATTCACATGCTGGTGACTATGCCCGGGGGGCACTCACATGCTGGTGACTATGCCCGGGGGGCACTCACATGCTGGTGATCATTCCCTGGCTGTCGCATGTCACATGCGCGGCAGTGCTGCAGTTCCCCCCAGCCACCCACCCGGCGAAAGTCCGCCCCCACGCCCGCTGGAATTCCAGGAGGACTTGCACTGGAGGCAGAGGGGAGGGGGCGAGGTGCAATGGACCAAACGAACCAGCAGGAGGGGAAGGGAGCGACAGGAGGAAGAGCGAGGGGAGTGAGGGAGAATGAAGGATGAACCAGGGAAGGGGAGATATGAGCCAAATGGCTCTCATCAAGTCTCAACGTAACTCTCCCAGCAGCTCCAATCTACCCTCATCAGTCCTGCTGTGGAGGCGAAACAGGATGGTAAATTGGTAACACTTTAAGTAGTACTACGATCATGAAAGCAACCGCTAGTAACCTCACTAAAGCGGCTCAACAACCAGACGAACCCCATGCTGGAGAGTAACGTGCTATGGGGGTTGAGGCTTCAGGTTTGCACTATAAAGGGTCCGACCAAGCCCCACTTGCGTGAAATCGGGTCATATCCTAAGCATTTCCCGAAAACACAAGGTACTTGACTCGCATTTCTTGCTGGGTCCTTGCAGGACGTTCCGCGGCAGTGGTATTTATTTACATAGGAAGCATACAGCTTGGAACTTGACAGGGCTTTGAGGCACGACACGCTGAACAGGCGGCGGCACCTGCGCGGACGCACCTTGGGAGGCGGCGTAAGGGACGCGGCTGCGGACGGGGGAAACCGCGGCAAGACACGTCAGCATGAACAGCGCGCCGAGCCCGCGCCGGCTTCCGGCGCCGTCCGCGCCGCCGATAGGGCGTCGCATGGCGAGCGTCCTTCCGCAGCGGGGTATGGAAGCCAGCCTTGATTCCTTGTACGGATCTGTCACTCAGTGACGGCGCCGGCGGCGGCCTGCCGCCGGGTGTGCTAAAACTAATGCAGTGACGACTGAGGCTACGAAAGGCGGCGTGAGTCTGGTCGGCGGTGGTTCGCGGTTACGAAGTCCGGGCGATTACTATCTCTGGCTGCGGGCGCGCAGGAGATAAGGCGACGGTAGAGACGTCGACGCGAGAAAGCCGAGGAATCGCGGAGGGAAGCTCTCGCACTTGAGAAATGTGGAGTGGATGGTAGGAAGGAGGTCCGTTATTGAGCCAAAAACGATGTCATGCGAGGTGAACTCGCAGGTGACACCAGCAACGTTGCGAAATGCCTTGGCGACGGCGAATCTGTTACGATCTCCATATCAACCAGGTGGAAAATCTACGGTGACGTTGATTTGATGGATTTTATTTATTTTTTTTGGGCTTTAAGGAGATCCCAGGAGGAAACCAGGCCCCCTTTCCCACGCCGATCCACCTGCGAGCCCTCAGGGGAGACCCCCTAGCGCCCGAGGCTGGCTTATGGTAGCAATTTTTCCAGGATTATGAATAGGAATAAACCATCTAGTGAATACTCTTGACTCCATTCGAGAAACGAACGAGGTACCTAAGTTGCGAAGCTTTGTCGTGTCAAATGGTTTTCTTTTTTTCTTTTTTGCAAGAACGGCCCCTTTCATCTAACAGGAAACAAGGGGTGAAGCAGGTTATGGAAATACAGGCAATCTCGTGCAGTACTGGTCGATGAAAGGCAAGGTGTTGTGCAGCGGCAACCACAAGAATAAGCAAGCGAAGAAAGAGAATAATAGAAAGAATGGTACGCATCATGGTTTTCAACACGTACACCAAAATTGCGACACCACGAAGCACCAACAACGACATAGCATACCACTACGAGCATCGGGATTAATACACAAAGTGTAAAGAGTGCTAGCAGTTGTGATAATTCATACTGAAGCATTTATGTAAGTAGTTCCGATAGATATTATCGAGTTACATTACATTGTAGTTAGCATCCGTCGAATGACGTTAGCAAATAGCGCGCGTCTGGATGATTGTGTCAGCAAGCCATTTCAGTCACGCGAACAGTCGCGCCCCTTTCAGCAGCGATTAGAGCGCATAGCGCAAATAGCGTTGAGCAGGTACACTACCGAACAGGTACTTCTAGTAGATATAAAAGTAGGCTCGTCTCTCTTCTATTATTAACTTGTTCTTCAGTAAATTCCGGACACCATTCTAAGACTTCCGTTGTCTTACTACCGTATTCCCCCGTATAAAACACCCGCCGGAATTAAGCTCCCCCAGGTAGCTTGAGCGGGTATGGGTGCTGATTTTTTCTTGATATACACAACACCCTACCCTCGGATGTGTAAGCATTTGAACACCCCCCTGCCGCCTAGAATCTTATAAATTTTTCAAGAAACACAAGAATTTGCGATGTGAAATTGTGTGCTGCCGTTATTTTTCCTTCTCCTGGTGTGCCAACGGTATCAATATCAGCGGGAGTGGGGAAAACGAGCTAGTTGCTACTGTGCCGCGGGTATTCTGGTAGAAGATCCGAATCTGCCCTGTTGAAAATCCCCGAAAAAAACATGAAATCGAGCACGCCGAGCCGAAACAAACACCCGCTGCCTCCTATTGGTTGGGAAACCGGCACTCATAAGGACACAGGCCACGCCTGCTGCACACGCTGTCTGTTTGACTCTGCACGTTCACTGTCGATGTGGCATGCAACTGGGCCACATCGTCAGGTACGCGATGTGGTGAACAAAAGTCATCGTTTGACTCAAATGAACATGGTGAAACATGCACATTTGAATTCCAATTGGGAATGCCATATGCGTGTTCCATAGCTCCTAGTGTTAGAATAGTAGGATAAATTCAAACAAGGGTGAACAAGAGAGATATAGTGTTGGGATTGTACCCTCTAACAGCATAGACCAATCTAGCCTACAACTTCTACACAGCATTATATGTATAAGTTGACACACCCCCTAGGTTAGATAAGGGGTAGTGCTGAGCAAAAAACAAGCAGCTCAGGGTGGCACTACTAGTCCAACCTACAGTGACGGAAATAAATGGGCTTATTAATCCACTGCTGTACATAAACTTTGTGATTCTGGCATTATATGTTGTCAAAACCCAACCACAACGAATCACATACTGTGCCTCTTGACCTGAGCTTCTCAATGCACTTGGGTGTTGTAACTTTTATCGATTTTATTGTAAGGAGTACAATAATAAGCGCTCGTTACTCGATGCGGACACTTTAGGCCAACTTCGAGTCCATATCTATTTCCTGCCTGCATTACGCATCCTCGCAACCAACGCTTCCTTTTTCGCTCGATAGTACAGCGGCACCTACGCCAAGCCCCCAGCGACGATGCGACCGCTTCTTTCGAGCCAGAAAGATAGGATCGCGACACTGCTTCGACAGGGCCAGAGTCTTCGTCAAATCGCTAAAGCATTAGGAATAGGGAAAAGCACGGTACAGAAATACGCACGCGAACCCTCCCAGCACACGAGCAGCCTAGCGGTCAGGCCGATTGTTCCTAGGAACGGCCGACCGTGCGTACTCTCGGTTCGTGACAGGCGCTCACTGGTGCGAGCCGTCACTTCTGGCCATGCGAAGAGTAGCATAGAAGCAGCGAAACTTCTAGAATCAGAGCGCGGCATCAAGATATGCCCTAGAACCGTGCGCAACGCCCTGAAGAACTCCGGTCTAGTAGCCGTACAGAAACCGAAGAAGCCGCGACTATCTGCCCGAAACATCAAAGACCGCCTCGACTTCGCCAAGGCGCACGTTGACTGGACCATTGAAGACTGGAAGCGGGTGATATGGTCCGACGAGACCAAAATCAACCGCTTGTCCAGTGATGGCCGCAAGTACGCATGGATTCGCGACGGGGCGGCCCTGCAAGGTCATCAGATTCAACAAACCGTCAAGCATGGGGGCGGGTCATTGATGGTATGGGGGTGCATGACTTATGATGGCCCGGGGTATATGTGCAAGATTGACGGCCGCATGGATGGGGAGCTGTACAGGAGTATATTGCATGATGAGCTTGCTCAAACTATCGATTTCTATAGTCTAACCCCCTGGGATGTCATTTTCCAGCATGACAACGACCCCAAGCACAAGAGCCGCCTTGTGCAAGCATGGCTAGCTGAGCAGCCGTATGCGGTCCTCAAGTGGCCCTCCTCCTCCCCTGATCTCAATCCCATAGAGCACCTGTGGGCACACCTCAAAAGGGAGCTCGCCAAGTATGAGCACCCCCCCACGGGGATGCTCCAGACTTGGGAGCGGGTGCAAGAGACATGGGATGGGATTGGGGCGGATGTGTGCAGGGGCCTCATCAACAGCATGCCTAGGAGGGTGAAGGCAGTGGTTAGGGCTAAGGGGAGGTGGACTAGGTACTGATTTTGAAATGTTGAACACTTTCTTCAAATCTGGCCAAAAGTGTCCGAATAGGACTTGCTGAATGTGGTTGTTGGTTTGCCATTATAAACATGCCCTTTGAGGCTGTATGACATGTGCTCCTCTTGCTCAGGAGGCACTACACTAGTATATTAAATCCCCCTGTTTTTAAAACTCTGTATAAGAAATACACACGCTTTTTAACCTTTCAAAGGGTCAACATATGGACAGTTTCTTCCGTCACTGTATGAGGCAAGGGTTCGAAGACCAGTCAGCAAGAGTACAAACAAGACAAGAGCAAACCAGGGCGGCACTACTAGTCCGACCATTGGAAGAGCAGCCACAAGGCCAGTCTGGAAGGTATAAATATAGAGGAGTACACAATCAAGGTCCTAGCAAGTGAGAGTCTACAGGAACTAGACCAAGCTGTAAGCAGTGCCGTTGATGATCTTTAGGCGCAAGCGCCTTAGTAAAGATATCAGCTGTATTGGCACCGGAGGCCAAATGTACTATGCGAGCCTGGCGACGCTGCTGGAGCTCGCGCAGGAAGAAGTACCGCAGCTGGATGTGCTTCGCTCTGCCCTCAAGTCAAGGCTCCTGACACACGAGGATCATGGCCCTGTTGTAAGCATACAGGACCGGGGCAAAGCTAGGCCGCTCACCTAAGTCGATAAGCAAGAAGGTTAGCTAGCGGAGCTCCTGTGCCGCCATGGCACCGGTGTTGATCTCAGCCTCACAGCTAGACTAGGCAACAGACGAGGAGCGAGTGGACCTCCACGAGATGGCACCTGAACCAATGCTAAAGTAGTAGCCCCGGGAGGACCTGAGGGTCTCAGCGTCGTCTGCCCTACAAGCGTCTGTGTGCCCAGTAAGGACCACTTGCCTGCGTCCTCCCAAAACTAGCCCCATGCCTGATGTACTCGCAAGATAACGTAGACCCCTCTTAGCGGCCGACCAGTGCTGGGGTCCGTGTCTGCCTGTGGCCACAAAGCGAGCTAGGATGCTCAGAGGGTATGCGAGATCTAGACGAGTGCAAGTCATCACGTACATGAGGCAACCCACCAGCTCTGCGTAAGGACCACTGGGCTCTGCAGGCTCCTCAAGAACTGGAGCCGAGAGCCTGTGGTCTACTGGCAGAGGTTTGGGCTACACGGAGGAGAACTGAAGGCCGAACCTCTGAAGGACCTGGTGCACCAAGTGTGACTGTGTGAGGATGATGGTGCGCGCTGCTCTGTCATTGGAGATCTACAAGACAAGGTCGCGGCGCAGCTCTCCTTAGTCAGTGCAGGTGTGTCTTGGGGTCGCTGAGCGATGCATTATTTTGGTCATGGAGGTGGCTCGTACCTCCATGATCCATGCCGGTGCACCCCATTTTTTGTGGCCGTTCGCCGTTCGCTACGCTGCTCACCAGATGACTTGCACTCATCCAGGTCTTGCATACCCTCTCAGCATCCTGGCTCGCTTTGTCGCCCCAGACAGACACCGACCACAGCACTGGTCGGCAGCTAAGAGGGTTTTGCGTTATCTAGCAAGTACATCGAGCATGGGGCTCGTGCTAGGAGGACGGAGACCAGTGGTCCTGACCAGACACTCAGAGGCTTCTTGGGCAGACGACGCCGAGACACTCAGGTCCTCACAGGGCTACTCTTTTTGCCTTGGTGCAGGTGCCATCTCGTCGAGGTCCACCCGCTCCTCGTCTGTTGCCCAGTCTAGCTGTGAGGTTGAGATCTACGCAGGTGCCATGGCGGCACAGGAGCTCCGCTGGCTGACCTTCTTGCTCACCGACTTGAGTGAGCGGCCTAGCTCTGCCCCAGTTCTGTACGCTTGCAGCAGGGCCATGACCCTCCTGTGTTTGGAGCCACGACTTGAGGGCAGAGCGAAGCACATCCAGCTGCGGTACTTCCTCCTGCGCGAGCTGCAGCAGCGTCGCCAGGCTCGTATATTACACTTCTTTACTAAGGCGCTTGCGCCTAAAGGTCATCACCGACACAGCGTACAGCTAGGTCTCGTTCCTGTAGCCTCTCACTTGCTAGTACCTTGATTGTGTATAGACCCTTATATATATCTTACTCCGACTGGCCTTGTGGCCTCTTCCCAGTGGTTGGACTAGTAGTGCCACCCTGGTCTTGCTCTTGCCTTGTTTGTACTTGTTTGGCTGGTCTCTAGACCCTTGCCTCAGAGGCTGGATTAGTAGTGCCACCCTAAGCTATTTCTCTCCCATCAAGCACTGCCCCTATCCAATCTAGGGGGTGTGTCAAACATATATTGTATGTTACTGTAGACTATATAGGGTTGTGCCTTAGAGAGTACAACCCATTAGGCTATATACCCCTGTATGATTGGTTCTAGTCAACTTTTCTCACTTCAACAAACAGTTCCTTTTATAAGACAATGTTCCATGTATAACGAAAAAGCCCTGTTTTACACACTTGTAGACGAACTCAACGAGCCTATGTTCTTCGCACGAGCTATCTCAGCATTGAAGTCCTCGCGGCCTGAGGTGTCAATTTCATTGTCAATACGAGATGCAACCCTGTTCACCTGTTCTCCCCAAACCTCCTCCCTCATCTTCACCAGCTCTACCAGCACTTGGCTCATGGCGGGGCGGGAGGCACTGGGCATGGCAGTGCAGGAGAGGGCAACGCGGGCCAAGCGTACCACCAGATCATCCGGTGCGTCCAAATCAGGGTCCTTGAATGCTGTCACAGCACTGGATGCCACAAGTGGAGCCACCTGCAGGGTTGGAAGGACATGGCGCAAGGAGGATATTTTTCATCCTTTAACAGAGAGTTCATGAAGGTGGTTTTTTGTTACGAGGATAAAAAATATTGAAACCAATGGGAGAATCAATATTACAGTGTGAACTTGGGAGATCGGAACAAGACAAGAAAGCGAACCTGACTAAACAACTCTTCGTGCACTTGGCCTTAGCAGGCCGATTTCTACGCGTCTTCAATACTCTCGTCACCAAGGGCGTGTCTGCAGCGAGATCGGAGCTCACCCAACAAGTTTGAAACTAAATCGTTCTAGAGGAACAGGCCTCACCAAATTCCTCCTCTATTGCTATTGATCCCACTTGTTGCCCGACCTGTTGCTATTTGAGTCTCACCCATTGCTTGAGGTTGATCTGGGTGTCCCCTGTCACATGAACCGCCTTGCGTGCCGTAATGACCACCAGCATCACCACTCCAAAGCTGCACATCCGAGCAACCAAGAAAGGAAACCCTTGATTGGAATGAGCAAGTCATGTGATGCACGAAGTGCCACTAACTTCAAACGAATAGAATGACAAGACAACTCTTGCACACTGCTAACCTGTGCACATCTGCTGCTGGTGTGGCCTTGTGAGACTTGTAGTATGCAGGGTCCACATAGCCTGGTGTGCCCATCACTCGAGTGGCGGCCACAGACGAGGTGCCCATAGCGGTGCCTCCACTCAGCTTGACAAGCCCAAAGTCCGCTATCTTGGCCTGCCCATCGTGCACAATCACAAAAGCACAATGAGGAACAATGAGGAGGAGTGTGAGTGTGCGATGCATGGCTGGTTGGTTTCAGCTAATCACCACATGGCAGTTGTGACACGATGGATAAGGGTGAGAGGGGAATCTGCTGCCATGCCTGCATATGCAAAAGGGGCAAACACCAGTTTCAACGTGCCTGCATTTTTGCATCAAGGAGAATGTTGGCTGGCTTGATGTCGCGATGCACAATGCCAAAATCATGCAGGTACAGCAGCCCCTTAGCTACTCCAATCAGTATATCCAGCCGCTGCCGCAGAGAAAGGGGATTGGAGACACCAGGTCCAATCCAGCTCTCGAGATCCCTATTCTCCATGAGCTCATATATCAGAATCTGCTCCATCTTTCGTGTGGACGGGTCAAAGTCGATGCAGAAGCCCAGAAGGCGCACGAGATGAGGGTGGTGCTTGCTTGCCATCTCCTTCATCTGGAAGAACAAGTAGTGAAAAGATGGGTGATGACCAGACGGATGGATAAGAAATATTTGGACCAAAAAGGTATTTCACAGTGTGAAAGAAATGATTACAAATCATGACATACCTCTGTCTGGAAATCGTTGGTGAGCACTCGAGCTCGTTTGACTGCCCAGGCTTGAGTGAGGTCATAGGGAGACACCCCTTTGTATACATCCCCAAAGCTGCCGCTTCCAATCCGGTTCTCCTCTGCCCAATCCGATGTAGCTTCTGCCAATGCAGCTAGAGAATATTCCCGAAAAACATCGGGCCGTGCTGCCTCCATGTCCACCACAGCACCACCATCCTGTCCCCCTCGTGCTACTGCTGCAGCAGCTGCTGCTGCTGCCGCCCATCCTGCCTCTGGATCTGGCGTCTCGTGGTGTGCTCCTGCAAAGGAATATGAGTGTGTGTGTGTGTGTGAGAGCGAGAGAGAGAGAGAGAGAGAGAGAGAGAGAGAGAGAGAGAGAGAGAGAGAGAGAGAGAGAGAGAGAGAGAGAGAGAGAGAGAGAGAGAGAGAGCCTATGTCCCTTAGTATTTAGAGCCTTCTATCCTCTCATTCCTCTGTTTTTAGTTTGGTTTCTTCTTTTTCTCCTTCCCTTGGTGGCGGGAGAGAGAGGAGAGAGAGAGAGCGAGAGAGAGAGAGCCTATGTCCCTTAGTATTTAGAGTCTTCTATCCTCTCATTCCTCTGTTTTTAGTTTGGTTTCTTCTTTTTCTCCTTCCCTTGGTGGCGGCTCGCGCCGGCGGCCTTCGGCCGGCGACGCTCGGGGCGCGGCCTGCGGCCGCGCGATAGGGGCCGGCAATTACTTCGCAAAAGACTCAACATTACGAGGATACAACAACCACGGCACAAAGAGCCGACAAGCAGACACACCCTACAACTAACTCCAGCGACATGGAGAGCCTAATCCGCCGTACCGAGGCTCTTGCGCTGGTGAGCTCGTCTCCCACGCGCACGTACGCAAGGAGGGAGCCGGTCACGCGAGCTGGTCCGCTCCCGCTTCTTCCAAGAGCGCCGTCACATAGCCCTCCAGGAGCTGGAGCGCTGACACGGCTCCGCCAACGATGTCTACAGCTGCAGCCGAATCTATGCTCGCCGACACTGCGCGCATCACGGCGAGCAGCTGGGGGTCCAACACTGTTCCCCGGGCGGGCGCAGGCTGCACTCGCGTCGACACGATGGCGAGATCAGCTGCAGCCATCGTGCAGCGATGAAGGGGATCATGGGGCATCCTGCACGGGCTCGCTAAGCCCCGTAGTACGGAGTGCGAGTCCGTTAGCATCCCCACAGCGATCCCCATCGCCCGCCGCGCGTGCCAGAGCCGACGAAGCGTGGCAACTAGGAGCGCCATCTCCACGAGGCGCTCCCGCCCTCGCAGCCGCTCCAACTGCACCCTCGGCGGCATCCGCAGCCCGCCTGGGCGGCGCTGCTCCGACCCCTCACACGGAAAGCCCTCATCGGAGGACTCCGCCCCCCCCGTCTCCGCTGCTTCTGCCCCCCCCTCGACTCCTGTCGGCGAGCCCATCGCCATACGGGGGGGAACAAAGGGCGCGGCAGCCCGCGCGCCGAAGGACGGCGGAGCCATCGGCTGTCGCTGGCCTTCGTACCAGCCCACCGCCGATGCCCCCACCACCGGCGGCTGCCAGCTTGGCAGCGTCCCCATGGTCGGCACATCCGTCGGTGCAGCCTGTGTGTTGGGCGCGAGGTGATGTTGGGGCAGCTGCCGGGCCTGGTACCAGGGGGCAGACGGCGGAGGCGGCTGACGATGCTCCTGACAGGGTGGCGGCTGTGGCGCCGCGGACACAGGCGCCGGAAGAGGTCGAAACGGCACTTGCAGCGGCACGGAATACGGAGGAGGCACTATCGCGGGCGGCATCTGCGGCGGGGGACACACGCTCGGGGGCTGAGGCGTTGCTACCGAACGGAACAGGTTTTCCAAGGTCGCAGCAGCGCGACCCAGCCGCCTCTCCGCGGCCGAACCTCGCCCGTTGCCCCCTCCGGCCCTCCACCCGCGGTGCGGTTCAGACTGCCCACGCTGCCCCTGCGGCGTCCGGCGCTGCTGGGCGGGAGCCGCTTGCGCCCCCCGCTGGGGTGTTCTTCGACGCGGCGGGACCAGCGGAGGCTGCTGCTGCGGAGGCTGCGCCGCCCCCGGCTGGTCTTGGTCCGCACGCTGGGGGGCCTTCCGCTCGTGACGTGCGGGGGACGAGCGGCGGCTGCCCGACAGACGCTCTGGGGTCTGCTGGCGGCTCGTTGACGAGACGGGGAATGCGCGCTCCCATCCGTGGTTCGCGGGCGGTGGGGAACTCGCCCGATCTCGGCGGGGGACGCTCTCCCCCGTGCTCTCCAAATCAAGGGACCGTTCGCGACGGGGACGCCCGACTCCCACCACATTTCGGGGTGACTCGATTGACGGCCCGGACGCCCCCCACATCGTCGCCCGTGCGTCGGAACGGTCAGCGAGCGTCGGGCGGAGTGGCAGCGCCACGCAGTGGAAGCCGGGACCAAAGAGGTTGGGGGCGCGGTCGAGGACGGACAGGCGTCTTGTCTCGGGATGGTGGCCCGCTGAACGACTTCCAGCAGGCTGCTAACCGGGCTTTAAGGGAGGGAGGGCAGAGGGAGGTAACTGACGAGGAAGAAAGACGAGACGCATCTTATGTACCGGAGAGGATCCAGGACTCATCAACAGAGGAGTCCAGTGCTGCTCTGGAGGAGAGAACTTTGTCACGCAGGCGAGGCGGGAATCCGTCCCCATCGCTCAGATCCCGCGGACATAGACCTGCGAGCACACAGCCACCGGGCTCTCCCGCCCAGGCTGCCAGAGGGAGTGCGCGAAATACGCATCCCTCCCGCGCCAGTAGTACGCCAGATATCCAGAACCCACGGCATTTTTCGCCACAGGAGCTGTCGTCCAACGAATCCCTTTTCGCCGGGGTGGCGGGATGGGATATCGACCTGCTTTGCGACAGTCGCCAACCCCCGATTTCCCGCAGAATCCCCCCCAAACTTCGTCAGCTCTTCGCCCTAGCACTCCTGACACCTCTGCTACACATCGCACACAGCCCATCCAGCCTCGCAGGTTGGCGCCTGTTACTTTTCGTCCCTCGCCTAACCCTTCGCCTGCACTCGCCCAAGCACCCTGATTGGGCCTCGGTGGAAAAACGACTGCAGCAGTTCCTCGCGGGCGATTGGCAGACGCTATACCTATCAGCAATCGATGCTGTGCATAACCCCCCCGCACCTCGCCACATGCCGGACTCCATCGGCAGGCAAAAGCGGGCAGAGGGGCTTGTCCGCCGTGGCAGTCTCCGACGTGCCCTGCTGGCACTGGACTCGACCCCGGTCAGCGATTCAACTCCCGAAGTCCTCGAGGCACTTAAGTCCAAGCACCCCGCTCCGTTGACCGAGTCAATCGCCTGGCCCATCCTCGACGAGTCAGAGGCGTGCCCCCCGTTTTCGCAGGACTCGTTCATTCGTCTGCTAAGTCGCTGCGAAAACGGAGTGGGCGCAAGGCCTTCAGGAATATGCTTCGAGCACATTCGCGAAGCCGCCCTCGCCAACAACTCAGTCGCTGTCAAATTGCATGAGCTCGCATTGCGTCTGCTCAAAGGGGATTCCACAGCCGAAATCGCCGCCCTTCTCACCGCCAGCCGCCTAATCGCCTTCCCCAAGCCCGGAGGCGGTACGCGACCTATCGCCATAGGCGAGTGCCTGCACCGCCTCGTGGCGAAGGCGGGCCTCCTCACCATGACGGCACAGGCGCAGACTCATTTCCTCCCGCTGCAGTTCGGGGTGGCAGTACGCGCGGGTGGCGAGGCAATCATCCACGGAGCCCGCGCATACACATCCGAGTTTCCGTCCGCCCTCGTACTCCAGGTCGACGTATCAAACGCCTTCAACAGCGTCGACAGAGCTGCGATAGTGGCAGGCCTCTTCAACTCGCCCCTCCGGCCGCTTCTCCCCTTCGTCAAACTCTCCTACGGAGCACCGTCGCGACTCTACCTAGACGCGGGATTCTGCAGCGAACCCCTCCTTAGTGCCCGGGGTGTTCGTCAAGGGGACCCCATGGGCCCCCTGCTTTTCGCGGCGGCTTTACACCCGGCACTCCAGGCGACAGCCTCGGCGTTTCGTAGCGTGCTCTGCCTCGCATACGCCGACGACATCACGCTGCTTGGAGAGCCGTCGGAATGCGCGTCGGCATTCACCCATCTCACAGAGGCCCTACGCCCCTTGGGCCTCGCGCACAACCCCTCCAAGTGCGCGGCGTGGTCAGCTTCCCAGCCCCCCAGCCCCACTCTCCCCCCAGGCATCCCCTTCCGCACTAACGGCCTGCGCCTCCTCGGAAGCCACCTCGGCCCCACCGAAGCCACAGCCGCTTTCCTTCGAGAGCAGTTGGCTGACATGGCCAGACCGCTCCCCGACCTGGCGACCATGGACCCCCAGGCTGCGGGCCTTCTCCTCCACCGCTGCGTCTCAAGACGCGTATCCTATCTCACCCGCACCACCCCCCTAGACTCGCTGCCGACCGAGGAATGGTCCAACTGGGGACAGCAGCTCTTCCATACCCTCCTCCTCTCATGCAAACTTCAGCTCCCACGGGGTGAACAGGAGCGGTCGCGCACGTGGCACCAAGCCTCTCTGCCCCCCACCCTTGGCGGCCTCGGCCTCGCGGACCCCGCAGTAGAGGGCCCGCACGCCTTCCTCACCAGCGTCACACAGGCCCACCGGCTCCTCATATCCCTTCCTTCGGACCCGACAGGCCCACTCGTTGCAGCGGCCTGCTCCCTAGCCCCTCCCTTCATCGGACCCTCGCGTCTCCATACCTGGCTGGCGAAATGCGAGTAGGCCCTCCCAGCTCCAGCCTTGGCGCTCCTGCAGGCCGAGCGGGCTGAGCCCTCAGACGATCCTCTCCAGCACCGGTTGGCCCTGGAGGTACACGCAGCACGCTTCGCTCGTCAACTAGCTGCGTCAAGGGAGATGGACCCCAACCCCCTCAGCGGCCACACCCAGCGGCTCCTCTCCCTCACTGGGTACGGCGCCGGCGACTGGCTCCTCGCCATCCCCCTATTCCCATCTCTTCGGCTGGCACCGCCTCACTATGCCATCGCCCTGGCGTTCCGTATGGGCCTCCCTTTCCCGGCACCCAGGGTCTGCAACTGCGCCCAACAGGTCGCGATCATAGACCCCCGCCTACCAAACCACCTCCTCCGCTGTGGGACGGGACACGGTCGCACCGACACCCACAACGCCCTCCGAGATGAGTGCGTTCGCATGGGGCGAGACGCACAGTTTATAGTCACGAAAGAAACGGCGATCTACAACCCGGTCGACGGCAAGACCGCCGACCTGGCCATGCGTGACCGGGACTCGGGGGCGGTCTGGATCTGTGACGTCACGGTCACCGACCCAGTCAGCTCCCGGGACCCGCTAGCGCGCAAAGGCCGCAGTTACATGGCCCGGGAGCAAGCGGACAAGAAGATCGACGAATACCGCCACCGGGCAGCATACGTCGGTTTCTTCCCACTCGCCGTCGAGACGTATGGCTGCCCATGCGCCGAAATGCCATCCTTCCTTAAACTCCTCGCACATACGGCCGCCCGTCGCCTTTTCAATGCTGACCCCAGCTCCTACCAGGCGGCTAAACTGCTCAGCCAGTTCCGCCAGCGCTGGTCTGTCACCCTCCAGCGGGGTCAAGCCCTCACCTACCTCGGGAAGGTAAATGAGGCTTCGCCACTTGAGGGGCCGCCCCTAGGTGCTCCTGAGGCGGGCATGTCCCTTGGGGACTGCTTCGCGGTCATAGAGCACCCAAGGGAGTAGCCAGGGACTAGGAGCTAGAACATGAACACCGAGCATGCTGGTACCCACCTTATATGCCTCGCCTGTACCCAGGATCTCCCAGCAATGAAGGACCGTTCGAGAGAGAGAGCTGCCGTAGGGTAGATATAGAAACATACCTGGGAGACTGTACCTGTTTGTACCCATCCTACTTGCCTAGCCTGTACGCAGGATTGCCCAGCAACAAAGGAAAGAGAGAGAGAGAGAGAGAGAGAGAGAGAGAGAGAGAGAGAGAGAGAGAGAGAGAGAGAGAGAGAGAGAGAGAGAGAGAGAGAGAGGAGAGCCATCTTGGGGACTTCTCGGGGCCGCTCCTCTTCGCCGTCCCCATGCACCGAGCGCTCCAGGCGACGGCGACGACGCACCTCCAGGTGCTCACGCTGGTGTAGGCGACAACGTGTGCTGGGCTGCTGGCCGCCACCCTCGTTTCTTGTGGCCTGCAGGCACCCTGGACACACTTACCCGCCTGCATGTCCCTTGAAGTCTCACTTACCACTGGAGAGGTGGAGGCAGTACCTTGAACCTACCTAAAACTAGTGCCCCAGGCGGCGGCAGGCCACCCAGGGAGCCAACCTGCAGTACCTGTGACTCAATATAAAGGACCGGTTTAGGGACATTGTGAGGGAGTGCAAGAGTGAGAGAGTTTCAGCCTAGTACACAAGCTCTCCCTCCATGGTTTCCTACTCAGTCTCCAGTGTCTGGTTCATTTATATGCTCTCAATCCGGCAGCTCACACAGCAGCCTTCAGGCAACAACGGTCGAGTTCATCCATCCACCAATGCCACCAGCAGTTGTCAGTCCCTTAGTGAGCGGAGCAAGGTCATCGCCCTCAACAAAAGGACAATGCGGTTCTCGTTGCCAAGTAGGGAACATTGCTGCTTTCATCGAGCCAAGAGCTCATGATTGGTACCAGGTCAGGATGGTTCCACAAAAGCCTGTCGATACTGTGACCTGCACCACGTCTTAGAGCCGCACTACAGCTCCCTTGAAGCGCCCCGGGGGTTGTTGCCTGCTAGCACATGACTGACCTGGAAGTCTTGACATTATTTGGAAAAAAAAGGAAAGTTCGATTGCGAGAACGAGAAGGAGGGATAGTAAGAGCAAAGAGTGTGTGCAGTGGGGAGCATTGGACTGTGTGATTTCGACTGGATCTTGCCTTGGAGTGCACTTTCAGCTGCCAAGACCTTCCCATCTCCTCTTGCTGCTGCCCCTTTGGTGCACCGTCGCTTGAACTCCATCAGACCCAGCAGCAGCAGCACGAGGATCGCCACACCACCAGCAGCAGCAATGCCAGCTATGGCACCCACTGACAGGCCGCCTCCAGACTGGGAGGGAGAGGCTCCGGGTTGAAGCTGGGAGGGAGAGGCTGGGTGTGGAGAAAGGGGCGTTGGAAAAGGAATGGGTTGACAAGAGAGGGTAGGTGATGGATGGAAAGCATTTCAAAGTTAAGGAGAAAGTGCCAAAAAGGGCAGGCGAAGAAGGGATTTTTGAGGCGCTTGTAGAATAGTGCTGCTAAGAGATAGCAGACAAGACAAGAGAGGACAAGACAATACAAGACTTGGTCCAGACAAGACTCAGGTCAGGGGCATGAGGAGCAGTTGTTTGCAAGTGGCTCTTGAAGGGGTCTGCCCAGGCGTGGGGGAAGGAACAAGATTTGAAGCTGAGGAGAGGAGAGAGGGGTGAGACCGTGGGAAGAGGGGGGGGGGGGGGGAGCTAAGGGAAGGGTATAAGAATGCTGGAAGCTGCAAACCATCCGTAGTCTAGGAGGACGATTGTGTCTCACATGGTGCCGGTGGTGAATTGGCACAGGTGGAGCAGAAGGAAGGGCACTGCCGGCAAAGGGCGCTTGAATTGAGCTGGGGGACCATGCAGGTGCTGAAGTCTTCTGGGCACGTGATTGTGGTGTTTGATATGTTCCTGCACGTGCACAAGGAGCGATTCTTAGACTGTTCAAAGAAGAGGATTGGGCTTTCATGCTTGTAGCGAATCTCGTTACATATTGGAACAACACACAAGAGCGAAAGATGGGTGAGCCTGCCGATTGTTGGAGGAAGGCGGCCGGTGAGATTGTTTTGGTTGACATCCCTGCAAGCAATGCGAAAACACAAAAGCACCCAGACAAAAACACAGCCCTAGTTTGTTGTTGTGAAAGCTAGAAAAGATTCAGTAAAATGTCTTTTTTTTCATGAAAGAGAGGACAAGCACTTCAACAATCACCACAGACGATATTTGTGAAAAAGTTATCGCAATTACGAAGGAAGATCACATGGCACATGGCTACGGTCCTACGGATCATTCATCAATAAGGGGAGATGTGAACATACAGTACTGCAAGAGATCTGAGCATGCTGAAGGAGTCTGGAATGCTGCCATTTAAGCTGTTGGTGAAAAGGTGTCTGGAGGGGCAAAGACACAGAGGGCAATATAACACAAACAAGGCAGGCCCGTGCAAATGAGAACTCGTGACCTAACGAATAGCGTGATGGTGAAAAAAACTCAGTTGGGCATCAGCCATGAGGTCTCTCTTAGTTGGGCATCAGCAATCAGGTCTCTCTTAGTTGTATGATTTTGCTGGACGAAATGTATGGTTTTCGTCCAGCAAAAAGGTAAGATCTAGCACATTTTGGTGGGAAAAATGCCAGATCCGTGCATTTGGGCGGGCGAAATGCCAGATCCGCGCATTTCGTCGGATTTCTTTGCACTTTTTATTTTTATTTCGGCCGTTTTTTTTAACCAACCCATTTTTGCACAATTTTCATCGTTTTTTTTCGTATTAAACGGCCGTTTAATTCGATACCGTTTAATACTGTATTTTTTTGAAAAAAACTGCGTTTTTTTTAACCCTGGGTGGTACCATGTGTAGGCCCTCTTCTTGTATAACTTTCATGTAATAATCTAAACGTTTTAGCACGTACAACTCCTGCAAGTTGATGAGGTTCCCGAGGGTCTCTGGGATGCTCTGTGAGAGGGAGTTCCATCCTAAATTCCTGCAGCCATTGGTAGCAGCAGCACATCAAGGATGTGAAAGGGCAATTGAGGAATAAGATCCGCGGGATTTTCTGGTTATACTGACGAGGAGTTGCAGACAAAAGAACGCACCAATGACACATGATAGCAGTAGTCCCAGAAAAGGGTAGAAAAACGGCTAATGGTTCAACTGAGAATAGCAATGGTGTCAGCAGAGCCAAGCATGGCAGTTGTGTTGCCATGGTACTGACAGGAACGTGAGGCCGCTCATGCTGCCGATGGTAGATGGAATAGACCCAGTCAAGTCATTACCTTTGAGATCCCTGATGGTGCATGCAAAGGGTTTCATGGGTTAATCGATTGACGCGGAGACGACGGAAGAAGGGGGGGATTTAATGGAAGGGAGGAGTGAAAAGGGCGTGACAAGGTAACATGGCTGACTTAGGAGTCGACTCAAAGGGCGTGACAAGAAAAGGTGACATAGTGGCTCGTTCAGTGTGTAATGAGTCGATTTTTGAGTCGACTCAAAAATCGACTCATTACACACAAAAGGTGACATAGTGGCTCTTTCAGTGAATCTGACAGAGGAACGCACAGGAAAAATGCGTTATCTCTGCCTAGTGGGAAACAAACCTTTAGCTTAAATGAACAGCACGCATCAATTTTATTCAAGCCAAACACGGAGGTTCAGTTGTGTTGCCATGTTACTGACAGAAGCTTGAGGCTGCTCATGCTGCCGATGGTAGATGGAATAGACCCAGTCAAGGCATTATAACCTAGATACCTGATGGTGCATACAAAGGATTCAACGGGTTAAATAATTGAAGCGGAGAGAAAACAAAACACAAGGAGGAAAGCGAAGACAAGGATGCTGAGAAAGGCTGCTGCGCCCATTTTTTGTGGATTGGATTGGATGTTTCACAAAATCGCTACCTCACTCGAATGCAATCCCCCGAATTCTCGAACCCACCCTTTGGGGCTTTCAGGGGATGCCATCGCGATATCTCTCCTCGTCTTTTCTACTATTCAGCCCATTTCTTACAACTAGAATAAGGAGGCAAGGAGAAACGAATTCATGCAAGAGGCACATCTGCTTACTTGTCTACTTCTTATTTCTTAAAGGGAGCCAAAAATGGATCAGATAGATTTTGGTTGACTCATACGTGCATGGCCATTCTCATACCGGATTAGCTGTTACCCATACGCACAGGTAGCTCATGCTGACCATGCTGCCGATGGTAAATGGGATGGATCCGGCTAAGCTTTGGAGACTGAGATCTCTGGGGAGACAAGAGGGTAATGGAGGAGCGCAGGTGAGAAACAGAGGGACCCTGGAAGGACATGCAGGGTTAAGAATCTCATCGGGTCAGTGCACTCACATGCCCAGCAAGGGTTGGTGCACTCACATGCTGACTACCATGCCCTGAAGATAGAGAGCACTCACATGCTGGTGACCATGCCCTGTGCATCGCATGTCACATGCGCGGCAGTGCTGCAGTTCCCCCCAGCCACCCACCCGGTGAAACTGCTCCCCCACACCTGCTGAAAGTCCTGGAGGAGTTGCACTGGAGGCAGAGGGAGGGGGGAGAGGAAGGTGGGGTAGGTAATCTGCAAGGGGAAACCGGTGGGGAAGTATTCAGACATGGTCTCCAGGAAGCGGCAGTGGTCAAGAGGAGATGAGGCGGCCAGATATAATCAACTTGTGCCCCTCCACAATCCTACTCAGTCCTCCCCAGTATGTCGGCGTTTTTATAAATTTCTCTTTACACGTTCCCCTCAGCGACATAATGTGCACTAGGGGCATGAGTGCTGGACTGGTCTTACACGTGGAGCTCATAGTCATTGGCAACAGATCAGATTCCAGGCTAGGCTAAAGAAAATCAACCCAGTGGGTATATACGAAAGACAGAGAGAGAGGCCACGCAGAGGGGGTTAGTGTGGAGAGGTGGTGACTCACTTTGGAGGGACGAGGGTGGAGCAGAGGGGGGTGGAGCAGATGATGGTGCCGTGGCACATGTGTTGCAGAAGGAAGGGCATAGCTGGCAGAAAGCAGTTGAAATATTTTGTGGGACCACACAGGTGTTGTAGTCCAGTGGGCATGTGATTGCTGTCCCAGAAATGGCTCTGCACGTGCATAGGGAGAGGAGTGCTCCCGAAACTGTTTAGGGATGATAATAGGAATCCCATTGCACGATGGTTGTGAATCCCATTGCACGATGATCTCTGCACTACAGGGTTTCTCTTGGATTGGGCTAGTGTGCCAGAGTTGTGAATGGCCTGACGGCGATACTGGACCAACGTACAATAATTCAAGACGGGTAAGGCCACCCATTGTTGGAGGGAGGTGACCACCGGTGAGATTGTTTTGGCTGAGAGAACTGCAATACTCGCTCACACACTCACACACGCACGTATGCGCGTGCGCTCACACACACTCACAGTCACTCTCTCACACACACACTCACAATCACCCACCCACCCACACACACACCCACGCATGCACGCATGCACATATACATGCAAAGCTTTGTTGAGATGGCTGACGAGGCCTAGAACAACTGTCCAAGTTACATCTATGCGTTCATCCTAGCTCAAACATCTACAGATAAATCGATTTCTCTCAAGTTAGCAAATTTACGACTGTGTGTATGTCTTATGGGCTTTATGAACGATATTATAACATTTTATATGAAGGTCACATCGTGCATGGCTATGGCTGTAATTGGATATGAGAACATACAGATCGATGAGATTAACGAGCTTGCTTATGGAGTCTGGAATGGTGCCACTTAATCTGTTGTCCGAGAGCAATCTGGTGGGGCGAAGAGACAGAAGGCAGTATAGCACAAATGAGGCTTACTGCATAAGTCAAGTGTAGAGAATATACCGTCCCACACAGATTGAAACTTACAATCACTAACAAATAATGTAATAAAAACACCAGTTAAGCGTTGGGTCTCTCCTCGTTGGGTGTCATGCGGTGTAGGCTCTCTCAACATTAGCTGACTTAACAAAAAATCGCAAACTCACAATTCACTCAAGTTGATGAGGTTTCCGAGGGACTCTGGGATGCTCTGCGAGATGGAGTTCGAGCTCAGACTCCTGCATCCAGTAGTAGCCATCAAAAATATAAAAGGGGGTCTGATAGATAAGATCGCCGAGCTTTTCTTGTTACTACTCACGAGTTGCCACTCCCCTCAAGCTGAAAAATAAAAACATGGACCCACCCAGATAGAGGCTGTGAGTTGCTAAAGATTACAGACTCGTGCCATTCAAGCCATACACACTAGTTCAGTTGTGTTCCCATGGTACTGACAGGTAAGTGAGGCTGCTCATGCCACCAATGGTAGATGGAATAGACCCCGTCAAGGCATTATAACCTAGATTCCTGGTCGTGCATGCAAAGAAATTAAAGGGTTGATTGACTGAAGCGGAGAAGGAGGGGGGGAGGGAAGTGGATGAATGGGGAAGATGAAAAGGGCATGACGCAGTGGTGCATTATTGTGACAACAGCACTATGAAAAGGGTAGGGTGCAATTTGCGACACATTTCACTGGGTGCAACTCGCACCATGAGCGCAAAGCTGAGTTACATCGAAACCCCTTGTAACAGGAAATGGTAACACGAAATGGTAACAAGAGATGGTAACATTGGACGCAACAATAGGTCACACGCAGTGAAGTAACGAGGCACCCTTCTCATAAAAAACCGCAACCCTCACAAATAGCTCAGATTGAGGAGATTGCCAATGCCTGATGGTAATGGTCCACTAAGATTGTTCCCATAGAGATCTCTGGAGACCACTCAGAAGGGAAAGGAAGACGAGAGAGTAAAGGACGGGCGAAAACAAGACAAATGGTATCAATCAGGGTCGAGGAAGACAAGGACAAGAGACACAAGGAGACAGGAAAGGGAACAAGGATGTTAGAAATGTTCTGGATCAGCTGTTGCTGTCGCTCACGGGCAAGTCAGGAGAGGCTTGTATCAGTCAGACCGTATTAATCGGGCGGATTTGGATTGTGCCCATAAGTGCGTGGTCATACTCACACCAGATTAACTGTTGCTGTTGCTCACAGGTAAGTCAGGCTGACCATGCTGCCGATAGTAGATGGGATGGATCCCGTCAAGCCCTGGTTATTTAAAATCCTGGAGGGGAGTGGATTGAATTACACGAGACAGGAAGGTTAGCAGAGGAGAGAGAGGTTCTGGAAAATCGTGCTATTGGGTAAATAAGTGATATTGGGTTGGTGCACTCACATGCTGGTGATCATGCCCTGGCCATCGCACTTCACATGCCTGGCAAAGCCGCAGCTCCCCCCAGCCACCCACCCAGGGAAAGCCCGCCCCCACGCCTGCTGGAGGTCCAGCAGGAGTGGCACTGGAGGCAGAGGGAAGGGGAGAGAGGGGCAGGCGGGAGGAGAGGGGAGGAAGGGGGAGCAAGAGGAGGAGAGAGGAGGGAAAGGAGGAAAAAAGGGGATGGAGAAGGAGGTGGGGCAGGGAAGGGGCAAGGGGGAATGAGCCGAACAGCTCTTATTAACAAATATACCATTCCCTTCCTACTCCGTTCCTATTTAGCAGAAGCACAAGTGGAGGAAGGACATGTGGAGTGTACGGATTGTGGGAAACAAGTGAAGGGGGGGAGTTCGTGCAGAGGGGGTTGATGTGGGAGAGCTGAGGACCCACTTTGGGGGGACGGGGGTCGTGAGGAGGGAAACAAGTCCGAGGGAGAGAGGGAGATATCCAAGGAAGAGAGACCATGCAAAGGGAGTTAACGCGGGAGAGGTGCTGACTCACTTTGGCGGGACAGCGGTTGTGGGGAGGGTGGAGCAGATGAGGGTGGAGCAGAGGAGGGTGGAGCAGAGGAGGGTGGAGCAGAGGAGGGTGGAGCAGAGGAGGGTGGAGCAGAGGAGGGTGGAGCAGATGAGGGTGGAGCAGATGAGGGTGGAACAGAGGAGGGTGGAGCAGAGGAGGGTGGAGCAGAGGAGGGTGGAGCAGAGGAGGGTGGAGCAGAGGAGGGTGGAGCAGAGGAGGGTGGAGCAGATGAGGGTGGAGCAGATGAGGGTGGAGCAGATGAGGGTGGAGCAGAGGGTGGTGCAGAGGAGGGTGGAGCAGAGGAGGGTGGAGCAGAGGAGGGTGGAGCAGAGGAGGGTGGAGCAGAGGAGGGTGGAGCAGATGAGGGTGGAGCAGATGAGGGTGGAGCAGATGAGGGTGGAGCAGAGGGTGGTGCTGTGGCACATGTGTTGCAGAAGTCAGGGCACTGGACGCAGAAAGCAGTTGAATTGGTCTGTGGGACCATGCAGGTGCTGTAGTCTTGTGGGCATTTGACTGCAGTGTCAGATATGACCCTGCACGTGCACAGAGAATCATTAAATCCCGACCGACAGGTTGCATACTAGTATTGTTGAGTTGCGGTAGGTGGGGCGGCAACATTAGACTGGCGGACGAAGTAGGGTGACGAATTTTGTTTTGCGAAGGTTGGGCTTCGCAGAGCGAGGTTTTGTTTCGCGCGAGCTTGCGGGGCTCACAACTTCGCAAGGATGCCAAGTTTGGCGGGTCTCACTCTAGCGGAGAGCCACCTCGCCAGCGCTGCCAAGTATTCAAGGCCAGAGCTGGTTGGCTGTTTACAAAAACAGCCCCTTGTCCTGACAGGTTTCGAAAAAATTCTGGATGTTGGGTTGGCGCATAAACATTTCGGAAAATTGCGATCCCTTACAGATGAATGACAATTTTATTTTGCGTGTACCTGCCCAAACTTTGAACGGAGAATACAGGTTTCTACCCCTCGCCCAACCCAGCCCGTTTCTCCCCTCAGTCGTGCAGCTTGCAAACTCTCTGCGAGCCCCTGCATTTTGACGAGTGCTTCTTGGTTCCTTCCAGCGGCCTCAAGATGCAGCACCTTGAGAAAAGGGGACTTGCAACCCGCTGGTCCGGATTTAAAAAGTTCAAATTCCGAAATTGGGATTTCATCTGCGCAGTAAATCCCATAACGCGACGATCTCTGCAGTCTAGGGTAGGGACTAGTGTATCAGGGTTGTGGAAGAAGTAGCGGTGATATTGGTTGACGTACATGAATGATAGACGCGTAAGACTGCCAATTGTTGGAGGGAGGCTGCTAGTGAGATTGTTTAGGCTGACATCCCTACAGTGCAAACAGCCACCCCCTTTCCTTCCCCCCCCTCTCCCATCCCCCATCGCACGCGCACAGACACAGACACACACAGACACACACACAGAACAGAAACACACACACACACACAAAACAGATAGTCAACTTTGCATGTCATTTGGAAAGGCTATTATTTCGTGTCACAAAAACTAGAAATGATAAATTCAAACGCTTGCTTTTCTTGATATTCAATAATCACGACTCAGTGTCCAACAGATTTGTGTGAAAGTTCTATCACAATTTTGTAAGAAGATCATGTGTTAATAAGGGGAGTTAAGAACCTACAGGTTCTCGAGATTTACAAGCTTGCTGACGGAGTCTGGAATATTGCCACTTAAACTGTTGTTGTATAGGTATCTGGTGGGGCAAAGGCACAGAAGGAAGTAATGCCCAAGGGGGGCTTACCACGTTGAATAAGCGCAGGAGATAAACTGGCCCATATAGATTGGAACTTAGGATTGCCAAAGAAAAGCATGATGATTAAAACGCTCACTTGGGTTGGGCATCAGGCGTCTTCTTTCTGGGTGTCGCCTTGTGTAAGCTCTCAACCCCCATACTTACAACACTAAGCAAAACACGAACACATACAAAGCCTCCAAGTTGACGAGACTCCCGAGGGACTCTGGGATGGTCTGCGAGAGGGCGTTCGAGCCTAAACCCCTGCAACCAGTAGTAGCAGCAACACATCAAGGACGTGAGAGGGCATTTGAAGGGTGCGATCAGCACAAGTCGTAGCAAGAATTTCTTGTTACTACTCATGAGTTGCCTTTCCGCTCAAGCTGGCTGGTAGAGGACATATGTTTGCGGTAAAAAAAAGGTAAAGAATCCCTTAATACTTCAATGAAATGTGCTTCAATTTGCCATTCGATCCAGACATGGAATTTCGGTTGCATTCAATTCAGTTGTGTCCGTATGGTACTGACAGAAACGTGAGGCTGCTCATGCTGCCAATGGTAGATGGAATCGACCCAGTCAAGGCATTGCTTCCCAGATTCCTGATGTGCATGCAAAGGTTGTTATGGGTTGATTAGTTGAAGCGGCGAATGGGGGGAGGGAGTGGATGAAGGGGGAAGATCATCCGAAGATGATAAGGGCATGCATGACGCAGTGATGCATGATTGTAACAATAGCAACATATCTCATTGGGTGCAAGCTAGCGCACATAAAGCTATCATGTATTGTAAAAAGTAAGTTTGGTCTACTCATAACCTCTTGTAACAGAATATCGTAGCAAGGCATCGTCACCTTGGACACAACGACTGGTCACAAGCAGTGTAATTAAGAAGCAAACTAAAAAAAAAAAAAAAAAAAAAAAAAAAAAAAGTTCTCACAAATAGCGCAGATTGAGGAGATTGGCAATGCCTGAGGGTATCGAGCCACTGAGATCGTTCCCATAGAGATCTCTGGAGACCATCCAATCCAACCAAAGGGACGGGGAAGACGAGAGAGCGAAGGATGAATGAAAACAAGGAAGTGTTAGTCAATCACACTGAGTGTGAGGACAGACGAGCGGGTCCTTGAAGGCTATTCGACCACTGTGCCAAAAGAATATGCATAGCAACGAACACAGGGGATAGGAATGGCATTAGACGACAAGGACACGAAGACATGAGGACAACGAGGAAAGGGGACCAAGATGTTAGAGGTAGCTGGGAACATTTTTGTGGATTGGAAGTTGCTTGTGACTAGGGATGAGCAAAACCGGGTAAATACCCGACCCGACCCGGTTTTGCCATACCCGACCTCGGGTCGGGTATATTCGGGTCGGGTCCAGGTCGGGTAATACCCCCAGGACCATTACCTGGATCCGGCCCTTACTGGCGGGTAATATAATACCCGCCAGGCGGATCCGGGTACAGTATACCCGACCCGGTTTAGGCTAAAAGCGGGTATTGATACCCGCCCATGGAAAAATGCCTAAACAACCTCAGTGTTACCCTCTGTTGCCATTGGTGTGTTTGTCATGGTGGCCCCCCAGGGTGGGCGTCGACAGCGTGGTCTTCAAAAAACAACCTAAACTGGGTCGGGTAGCGTTTTTGCCAGCATGAGAGGGGCGGTACCCGAAGTCAGGTATTCAATACCCCGCGGGTCAGGTACACCGTACCCGTTACCCGACATGTCGGGTAAGATTTCGGGTAACGGGTATCGAATACCCGCCCGGGTAACCCAGACCCGACCCGCCGGGTAATTTTCAGAATTCCGGATACCCGACCCGCCCTAAAAGCGGATCCGGGTCCGGGTACCCGACCCGGGCGGGTAGTATGCTCAAGCCTAGTTGCGTCGCGACCATCCCTCAAAAGTTCTTGAGGAGACTAAATTGGGGATTCTTTGGATTCTTGTTCGTCTCATCCCTTCCAGCCCACTTTTCTATTCAGCTCAATCTTATTCGAAAGAGACAAGGAGACAAGTGACGAGTAATTTCGTGCAAGAAGCACACCAACTTACTGCTGCATCAGAATTCATAAAAAGAACGGTTTATGATGTCCCATAAGTGCATGGTCCCACTCATACCGAATTAGCTCTTACTCACAGGAAAGTCAGGCTGACCAAGCTACCGATAGTAGATGGGATGGACCCGGTTAAGCCCTTGTTATTTAGATCCCTGGAGGGGTGTGGTGTGGGTTACGTAAGACACAGGGGATAACGAAGGGCGTACAGGGTTAAGATTCATATTGGGTAGGTGCACTCACATGCCAAGCCAACTCGGCGCACTCACATGGTGGTTGTCATCCCTTGCTGCACTCACATGCTGGTGACCATGCCCTGCGCATCGCATGTCACATTCTCCGCAGTGTTGCAGTCCCCCCCAGCCACCCACTCGGCGAAAGTCCGCCCCCACGCCTGCTGGAATTCCAGCAGGAGTTGCACTGAATCCAGAGGGAAGGGGGGAGAGGGGCAGGAGTAGGCTTGAGCATACTACCCGCCCGGGTCGGGTACCCGGACCCGGATCCGCTTTTCGGGCGGGTCGGGTATCCGGAACCCTGAAAATTACCCGGTGGGTCGGGTCCGGGTTACCCGGGCGGGTATTCAATTAGGCTTGAGCAACGGGTCGGGTCGGGTCGGGTAACCCGACCAGAACCCGACTTTTTGACGGGTCGGGTCGACATTTGCGGAGGGTCGACCCGACCCTCGGGTACCCGACCCGACCCGACCCGACCCGACCGACAAAACCCGACCCGTCGGGTCGGCTTATTACCCGTCCCTGCCCCTATGCCAACCCGACCCGACCCGACCCGAAATCGGGTCAGGTAGTACCCGACCTATTAAACCCGGTCGTGTTGGCATTTCCTGAACTTCGACCCGACTTGACCCGACCCGAACCGACCCGAACCCGACATCGGGTAGGGCAAAGTCGGGTCGGGTCAGGTCGGGTCGGGTTCATGTTCAAGCCTATATTCAATACCCGTCACCCGAAATCAGGCCCGACATGTCCGGTAACGGGTAGGGTTGAGCAAAACCGGGTAATTACCCGACCCAACCCGGTTTTGCAATACCCGACCTCGGGTCAGGTATTTTCGGGTCGGGTCCGGGTCGGGTAATATGCCCAGGACCCTTACCCGGACCCGGCCTTAGGGTACGGGTCATACAATACCCGCGTGGCGGGTCCGGGTATACCCGACCCGGTTACCCTGAAAAACGATTATTAGTACCCGCCACCTACTAGTGGGCGTTCTAAAAACGGGCTAGGCTAGGTAGGGTTTCTCAAAACGCGACTCTCAAATGAGAGTCACGGTTTCTGGGGGTCGAATTTTGACCACCCAACTCCCTCCCTTTCACCTAGGCTTGAGCAACGGGTCGGGTCGGGTCGGGTTACCCAACCCGAACCCGACTTTTTGACGGGTCGGGTTGACATTTGCGGAGGGTCAACCCGACCCGACCCGACCCGACCGACAAAACCCGACCCGTCGGGTCGGCTTATTACCCGTCCCTGCCCCTATGCGAACCCGACCTGACCCGACCCGAAATCGGGTCAGGTAGTACCCGACCTATTAAACCCGGGTCAGGTTGACATTTCCCGAGCTCCGACCCGACTTGACCCGACCCGACCCGACCCGAACCCGGCTTCGGGTAGGGCAAAGTCGGGTCGGGTCGGGTCGGGTCGGGTTCATGCTCAAGCCTACTTTCACCTCACTGAACTCCTCCCCGTCTACTACAAACTCCAATTTCCAACCAAACTCCCTCCCTTTCACCGCACTGAACTCCTCCCTGTCTACAAACTCTAACATTTCCAACCAAACTCCCTCCCTTTCATCGCACTGAACTCCTCCCCATCTACAAACTCCAACATTTCCAACCATACTCCCTCCCTTTCACCGCACTGAACTCCTCCCCGTCTACACACTCCAATTTCCAACCCAACTCCCTCCCTTTCACCGCACTGAACTCCTCCCTGTCTACAAAACTCCAACATTTCCAACCATACTCCCTCCCTTTCACCGCACTGAACTCCTCCCCGTCTACACACTCCAATTTCCAACCAAACTCTCTCCCTTTCACCGCACTGAACTCCTACCCATCTACAAACTCCAACCTTTTCTCCAACCTCACCCAACTCTCTCCCTTTCACCGCACTTAACTCCTCCCCATCTACAAACTCCAACTTCTCCTCACAAATGCTCCACTCGTCCCCCCTCACCTCCCATTTCGTTTTCCCGCAAAACCTAAATCAGAGCGCGACTTACGCCCATGTCTAAATGGAATACCCGACCTCGGGTAGGTATTATTTACCCGACCGGGTCGGGTACCCGTTACCCGACACGTCGGGTAGCGTTTCGGGTAGCGGGTATTGAATACCCGCCCGGGTAACCCGGACCCGAGCCGCCGGGTAATAATCCAGAATCCGGATACCCGACCCACCCAAAAAGCGGATCCTGGTCCCGGGTACCCGACCCGGCCGGGTATTTTGCTCAAGCCTACCGCCGGGTATTGAATACCCGACTTCGGGTACCGCCCCTCTCATGCTGGCAAAAACGCTAGCTACCCGACCCAGTTTAGGTTGTTCTTTAAAGACCACGCTGTCGACGCCCACCCGGGGGGGCCACCATGACAAACACACGCATGGCAACAGAGGGTAAAACAGAGGTTGTTTAGGCATTTTTTCATGGGCGGGAAGCAATACCCCCTTTTAGCCTTAACCAGGTCGGGTATACCCGAATCCGCCTGGTGGGTATTATATTACCCGCCAGTAAGGGCAGAATCCGGGTAATGGTCCTGGGGGTATTACCCAGCCCGGACCCGACCCGAAAATACCCGACCCGAGGTCGGGTATGGCAAAACCGGGTCGGGTCGGGTATTTACCCGGTTTTGCTCATCCCTAAACCAAACATACCCCCCCCCCACAACATCGCGAGCCCGCCAGAAAGTAACACGCTGTCTCCCTAATGTTCTCCTCACTAACAGCCAGTTTGGGGGGGATAGGGCGGGAGGGAAGCGCGACGAATAATATTCACGAGAGGACGAGTACGGCGAATACAAATACCCCTACGACGAATAGTCCGAATTCGAAACTCACGAGTAAGACAGCCACACTCGATTCATTTCGTATTCGAAATTCGAATATGAATCCGCGAATAATACTCGTTTTCCAAATACTCGTTTTCACCCTTACTTGTTGGGTTAAAAAATCCGAAAAATAATCAACAACGCATGCCCTTCCCATGCTGCTCCATCACAAGGGGAGGAGAGGTACGGGGGTAAGCCAAGATATATTTGAGGGAGAGAGGCCATGCAGAGGGGGTTACCTCTTCGGAGAGGGGGGCCATGAGAGGCCATGCGGAGGGGGTGGTGACTCACTTTGGGGGGATGTGGGCGGAGCGGATGTGGGTGGAGCAGAGGAGGGTGGAGCAGAGGAGGGTGGAGCAGAGGGTGGTGCTGGGAACGGGGGTGCTGTAGGTGGGCAGGGGGGGGTGTTGGATATGGTGCGGGTTGAAAGGGGTGGTGAAGAGAAGGAAAGCATCCGAAGGTTGGAAGATATACATGGTTGATTAAGAGTGGTGAGCGAAAGTGCATGGAGGCAGCATATGGACTAGATGGATTAAGGAGCAGGTGCGCTGCTAACGGTTGATGCAACCTATTAGAAGGTATTGAGCTGGTGACATGCCCATGTAGATGGAGTCTTACCAGGTGGTGAGGGGCCAAATTTCAGTCTCACCAGGTGGTGACTTGCCACAAGTTGTGCAGAAGGAGCTGCACCGCTGGCAGAAAGCGCTTGAAGGTGTCTGTGGGACCACGCAACTGCTGTTGACAGATGGGCATGTGATTGCACCTCCAGATACGTCCCTGCACGTGCACATGGGGTGTTCCTGAGCTGTTCAAAGAAGAAGATGGGAATTTCAACTTCGCAGTGAATCCCATTGCAAGACAAACTGCCCTTGGGTGATCTAGCAGTGATTTTAGAGCAACAGCAGTGATATTGGTTGTGTACGTACAAGAACGAAAGTCGGGTAAGACTGCCGATTGTCGGAGGGAGGCGGCCGGTGAGATTGTTTTCGCTGACATCCCTACAATGCAAAAGACCCCCCTCCCCCCACACACAAACAAACACAAACACACACACACACACACACACACACACACACACACACACACACACACACACACACAAACATTCAGGCAAACACACAGCGCTTTTTTGCATTCAGGAATGGCTGCTTTTTTGCCTTTTCAAACGTTTGTTTCTCTCGTGATAAGAGGGGCGAGCGCTTCAAACACCCAATATACTAGTTACTAATCTTTTGTCTGATACCTTCATTTCCCCATTCGTCAAGGCTTTACGATTGCTTGCTTATATATCCACTGATTGGCCGTTTTCCCAGTAGACATGGGCTCGGCTCGGCTCGGCCCCACACCTGGCTCGGCTCGGCTCGGCTTGCTTTTAAGGCGAGCCGAGCCTTTTTTTTTGGTACCCGGCTCGGTCGACTTGGCGGCTCGGCTCAGCTCGCGCACGCAAACTCAGGCGAGCCGGAGTTGAGCCGGCTCGAGCTGGCTCGATTTCGAGCCAGCCGGCTCGCGGCTCAGGAAAGGGGGCGTTTTGCGACTGTCAAACTTCAGATCGACAAACCCCCCTGCGCCCGTTTCGTCTGCCAACCCTAACCTCGTCTTGTCACTAGTCTGTCGCCCTCAACCAGCCCTATCTAACCTGCAGCACCTCCTGAGAGTTTTGTAAGATGTAGAAGCTGACGATGCGCTCAACATTCTGGACCACGTCCCGGACTAGAGAACCTCAACCCCGTGGCCCCAAGTGAGAGCCCGCACAAGCCCCCTGAAGAGCCGAGCCGAGCCGGGGATCCTGGGGACCCGGCTCAAGGCAAGCCGAGCCGAGCCAGGCTCTGCTCATGCCCATGTCTAGTCTCCAGACGATTTGTGCAATATATTTGTCAGAATTTCATGGTAAGGTCACATGGCACATGGTAAGGTCACATGGCACATGGTAAGGTCACATGGCACATGGTAAGGTCACATGGCACATGGCCATGGCACATAGGTTAATAAGGGCAGTTGCGACCTTACAGTTCTGCAAGATTCACGAGCTTGCTGAGGGAGTCTGGAATGCTGCCCGTTAAATTGTTGTAGTACAGGTATCTAGAGGGTCGAAGACACAGAAGGCAATATTGCAGAAACGATGCTTACTGCGTTAAATATGCATAGAGATTTTACTGGCCTGTACAGTTGGAACTTACAATAGCTACACTGTAGAGCGATGTTGAAAACACTCAGTTGTGCATCGAGTCTCTCCTCATTGGGTGTCACCTTGTGTAGGCCCTCTTCTTGTGTTACATAATGTAACGATAAAAAGTTTTGAGCACGTACAAATTCTTCAAGTTGATGAGGTTCCCAAGGGACTCTGGGATGGTCTCTGTGAGGGCATTTGAAGCCAAATTTCTGCATCCGGTAGTAGCAGCAATGCATCAAGGATGTGAAAGGGAAATTGAACGATGATTTTGTCAGGCTTTTCATGTTACTACTCGCGAGTTGTCTTTCCACCCAAGCTAAAAGGGGTACACGAAGTAGTGGAAACAAGAAGCTGTGGACCCAAGTCACCGTATGGTTCGGTAAAAAGCACAGACAGAGCACGGCAACTCAAGCCAAACATGCCAGTTCAGTTGTGTTCCTATGGTACTACTGACTGACAGGCGAGTGAGGCTTCTCATGTTGCCGATGGTAGATGGAATAGACCCAGTCAAGTCATTCAATCCTAGATTTCTGATGGTGCATGCAAAAGATTCCATGGGTTGATAAATTGACACAGGGAAGGTGGGGGAGGAGTCATTGAATGGTGGAAACGAAAAGGACATGACATAGTGACCCAGTTGCCCTTTAGTGAAGCTGGCAGAGGAACACACAGGACACATGCGTTAGTTCGCAACCCAGTAAGAAACAACATTCTGCTTCAGTAAAAGGCACACAGCAGTGGCTTCAATCAAGCCAGACATGCAAGTTCGGCTGTGTTCCCCTCATACTGACAGGTGATTGAGGCTGCTCATGCTGCCGATGGTAGATGGAATCGACCCAGTCAAGGCATTCAATTTCAAATTCCTGATGGTACATGCAAACGGTTCCGATGGTTGATTTATGGAAGAGAAGTAGTGGAGAAAAGGGAGGGGGGGGGGGGGGGGGAAGTGGGGAGGGGGGATGGGTGGGGAAGGGGAGGGGGAGTGAATGAGGGCATGACATAGTGGCATTGCAAATTAAGCTGACAGGGGGAACGCACAGAGAAACAGCCATTTGCTGTTTAAGCTGACAGGTAGAGAACATGCGTTAGTTCTCTACCCTGTGAGAAACAGCCATTTGCTCCAATAGAAATAACCAAGTAATTCAAGCCAACCATGGAAGTTCAGTTGTGTTCCCGTGGTACTGACAGGAAAGTGAGGCTTCTCAGGTTGCTAATGCCAGGCGGAATGGACCCAGTGAAGTCGTTACCTCCCAGATTCCTGATGGTACATTCCACGGAATAAATGGGAGAAGTGATTGAAGCGGAGAACAATTGAGGAGGAGGGGGAGAAGGAGGAGGGGGAGAAGGAGGAGGGGGAGAAGGAGGAGGGGGAGAGGGAGGACGGGGAGAAGGAGGAGGGGGAGAAGGAGGACGGGGAGAAGGAGGAGGGGGAGAAGGAGGAGGGGGAGAAGGAGGAGGGGGAGAGGGAGGACGGGGAGAAGGAGGACGGGGAGAAGGAGGACGGGGAGAAGGAGTGGGAGAAGGAGGAGGGGGAGGAGGGAGAGGAGTGAATGAAGGAAGGGGAGGGGGAGTTGACCTATTGATGCAATACCATGACAAAAGCAGCACGTCCCATTGGGTGCCATCTAGTGCTGCACGCAAAGCCATCTTATATAGTACACGGAAGTTGTGTCTCCTCAAAACCTCTTGCAACAGCAATTGCTCACAAGAAATGGTAACACGAAATGGTAACACGAAATGGTAACACGAAATGGTGACATAAGTCACAGCAACTGGTCACACGCAGTGTGGTTAAGGGGTCTTCGTCTTGTAAAGAAAGTGCAATCCTCACAAATAGCCCAGATTGAGGAGATTGGCAATGCCTGAGGGTATCGAGCCATTAAGAAGGTTCCCATAGAGATCTCTGGAGACCATCGAAAGGGAAGGGCAAGACAAGGGAGTGAAGGATGAGTGAAAACAGGAAAGGTGAATTGGGCAGGTCCCATTGGGAATTCACCCTAATTTCCCTGTCATGCATTCCAACGTCCAATCATATGCTTCGTGCATTACTACCTTACCAACCTAATCAGCTAAACGCCTTACACCCTAGGCTAACAGACAAGCAGACACGAACACAAGGGCACCATGAGGCAAGGAGTCGAGTGGCGAACAAACTTGTGCTGTAGGCGTATCTACTTCTTACGACTGCATTGGAAGTCCAAATAAAAGAGGCGCATTGTGGCTGTATTCATGTGCACGGTCATACTCATACCAGAGACAAGCTGTTTCTCACAGGTGAGTCAGTTTAATCATGCTGCTGATAGTAGACGGGATGGATCCGGTTAAACGTTGGTAGTCTAGTTGCCTGGAGGGGTTTTTCACGTGGAAAGGGGAAAAATGAGGAACGCAGAAGGGAGAGAGAGAGGAGAGGAGGAGAGGAGGGGGCGGGGGGGGGGGGGGGGGGGGGGGGGGGTGGGGTGGGGGTAGACATGGGCATGAGCCGAGCCTGGCTCGGCTCGGCTCGTTTGGGGTCGAGCCGGGTCCTCAGGATCCCCGGCTCGGCTCGTGAAAATGGGGTCGAGCCGGCGAGCCGGTTCAGCTCGGCTCGTCAGGGGGCTTGTGCGGGCTCTCAATTGGGGCCACGGGGTTTGGGGTCTCTAGTCCGGGGCTTGGTCCAGATTGTTGAGCTGATCGTCTGCTTCTACATCTTACAAAACTCTCAGGAGGTGCTGTTGTTGTAAATAGGGCTGGCTGAGGGCGATAGACTAGGGCCACAGGGGGAGGTTAGGGTTGGCAGACGAAATGGGCGCGGGAGGTTTGTCGATCTGAGATTCGACACCCGCGAAACCCCCCCTTTCCCGAGCCGCGAGCCGGCTGGCTCGAAATCCAGCCAGCTCGAGCCGGCTCGACTCCGGCTCGCCTGATTTCACGTGCGCGGGCCGAGCCGAGCCGCTGGCTCGAGTCGAGCCGGGTACCAAAAAAGAAGGCTCGGCTCGCCTTAAAGGCGAGCGGAGCCGAGCCGAGCCAGGTGTGGCCCATGTCTAGGTGGGGGGGGGGGGAGGGATGGATTTAGGAAGGCTGTGCAGGGTAAGGGGTCATATGGTAGTTTTTTTCAAGACCCAAAGATGAAATTAAGAAGCATTGTCGCATGCAAAGTGTCGTGGGTGCGTGCTGGCCAATGTGCACTGTAAAGTGCACTTCACTTCACTTCACTGCACTGCATCGATGCGCATGGGGTCCAGGCTGGGTGGGCTGTACAAGACATGAGGAGATGAGGAGACAAAAGGAATGGTAAGTGGAGCTCTACTGGTGGCGTCTGTCTGGGCTGTGCTTGGCTCCGTCCAATGTGATCCAAGCAAGGGAAAAGGAAGGGAGGGGTGGAGAGAGGAGAGAGGGTGCATGTGGGAGAGGAGCGCAGTGAGAGTTGGTAAAACGGGATGGAGCGCAGGAGAAAAGCGCTGGGAGTGAGAGTGTTAGACAAAATTAGGGAGAAAAAGAGAACATGGGGCATCCAAGCCAAGGAATGCGTGGTAAGCAAGGGTTCGTTTACTCACATTTTGGTAATCATGCCCTGGGCATCGCACGTCACATTCGCGGCAGTGCTGCAGCTCCCCCCAGCCAACCACCCAGGGAAAGTCCGTCCCCACGCCTGCTGGAAGTCCACCAGGAGTTGCACTGGAGGCAGAGGGAGGGAGGAGAGGGGTAAGATTGAGGAAAGGGGCAGGAGGGAGGAAAGGGGTAGGACGGAGGAGCAGGGGGGGGCGAGGGCAAGATTGAGAAGCAGGAGGGAGAAGCTGGAGGATGGAGGGACAAAAGAACTGATACCAAGATTACTAGCAGCACGCAATGGGCAGAATAGATACTAGTGGACGGTAAGCATAATTAGTAATTCGTGCCCAGCGTCTGGCAGCGTGTGCTTCACAGCAACGCACTTTGGGAGGCGGCGTCGGGCACACAGCGGACGGGAGAAATCGCGGCGAGACACGTCAGCACTAACAGCGGACCGAGCCAAAGGCGGCGCCGGCTTCCCGCGCCGTCCGCCGCGCCCAAGTCGATGGGGCGCCGCATGGCGAGCGCGCTTCCACAGCGGGGGATGGGAGCCCGGCCTTGCCTCGAGATTCGAATTCGTTTTCTGTGAAGCTGTTCGCAGGTGCGGCGATGCTGCCGGTGACGACTTGGAGTCCAAAGGCCGTGACGGAGGGGTGGTAAGGCGTGAGTTTAATAGATTCGTTGTTTACTTCGTAGAACAGCGGGTTACCGCCGCTGACTGCACGCGAGCAGGGAAGAGATACGAGAGACACCGAAGCGAGAAGAGGTGACTAAAGCGAAGTGAGAAACTTCTACTAGAGCAGCGAAGGTGAGAATCTTGTGACAAGACACTGCAGGAACAGGCGCTGGTGGTGTGTAAATGAGAGGGAGTTGGTGCAGGAAGGAAAACCATTCCCTGGAGGGGCCGACCAAGAACGATTGCCAGGCGGGTGAGGTGAACTCGGAGGTGACACAATTTTCGCAGCGAAAAGCTTTGGCGAAGACGAAGTGTAGCAACGTCCAAAAACCCTGCAGAAAGTGCATCTCGAACGGTCACGATTTCGTTCGTCGAGTGACATTGATAACGAAAGATCTCAAGTGAGGTGCGTTTGATTGCGGCATGCCATGCCAACATTGCACAGTTTTTCTCGCCATAACGAAAATAAACGAACCATAAGAACTTCTACAGACGCGCAAGAGGTATTTTGGCATTTGGTATAAATACCTTAGTTCCGTATATTCAAGGATTTACAGGAATCACTATAATCAAAACATACCTGTTCTAGAGACTTATCGACAAACCCATTAACTATGTATGATTTGCACAAATTAGTGTACGACCTACAAGAGAATAGGCTTCCTTCTCCCTAATCGATTAGGCTACGAGGGCAGCGTGCCATATCGGAGTAAATCATTTGCAATGATTTGTCTGCTCATTCCAATCAACAATTAGGGTAGAAGAATATATGCAGTGTAATGAAACACACTATGGGCTTGTCCCCCCCCTGATATATGTCTCATCCGTAGGGTAAGGCCTGTGTGCTTTATCTCATGCTTTGCCCACCAGGTAGTTCAAGGTTGAAGAAAGCTTATGCCTTGGCAGACTATGTATCCAGCCTGGATTGCAAGTAAAGAATCACTTAAAAAGATTGAGAGAGGGTACGCAATGCTAGAAGCTAGAGGAGGTTAACCCTGCGAATGAGGATACCAGAAAGTAGGCTACGACAGAAGGCAACCTACGGAACGTGAGGATACCAATGAAAAAATACGGTAAATATAGCGCATGCTCCAACAGCATGTGGGCAGCAAAGGATTTGAGCCCTGCTTATATTTCCACCATCTCAACACCTGTCAGACCCCTCATCACTACTACTGCTGCTGCTGCTGCTCTTACGAGAAGAGGTGCCGCTTCTAACGTAACCCCTCGGACAATGCACCGTAGGGTTCTTCTAAAAAGTCAGGAAACTTTATAATGGGGTGGGGAGGAAAAAAAAAAAACAAACAAACACTTGTATGACAACACCCTGATATTGTCAAAATTGCATAAGCTACCTTATTCTGGGATATAGAATGTCTCCCAACAAAATCAGAATCTTTTCTCACTGCACGTACACTGCGGCCTGGTCGCAACGTGAATTATGGAGCCAGCGCTGTTCCAAGCAAGTGTCAAAGTTCAGACAATAAAAAATTGGCGTGATTTACGGAAGCCTATGGTGCGAGGCACCTAAAACGACACAAAACCCATTGGCGCAAACCTGACCAGACCCCCTCCCCCTGGCCCTACTCATGTTGCACAATTGAGAAGCTTCTTCAGGGGCTGAAGACATGCGACGGTTTTTTAGGTGCCTCACAAAGCGTAGGCGCAAACCTGATGCGGACGTTTCCTTTCGGATGTTTCTCATGTCGCACACACACCTGCCGCGCGCACGCCTGTTGCACACACACCTGTTGTTGACCATGTCCCCATTCATTCCCTCCTCCCATGTGGTTGTCCCCAACCCGTTTCATTCCCCTAACTCATCAGAGAGCTTTCCAGCAACTTGTTTGCCGGCTCGATTTCTGACTTTGTCAGCAAGCCTCGTAGCCTTATGCAGCTGTGAGTTTTGTTTGTATCTGTCACGATTCACAAATAAGCCACAACGTGGTTGTGACAACCAGACCACAAGCAGACACGCCACAAGACGCCCAAATTTCCGTACAGAATTTCAATGTTATATATGTATTCGCACACTTGAGTATGACATCAGTGTAATATTTCGGTCTCGTCGCTCGTCTTGAGTTCATCCATTCATTTACCCCTCGGCATCCCCCATACTAGATCGCTTGATAACAACAATCTGAAAAGCCACATTCGTGACTGCATTAGCAATCTCATGAACCTTGCGGTCTTGTGAGTGGTTTTCCCTAGATCCTTGTCTTTATCGATTGGCATCTTGGTCATTCACTGTACAACCAGCCTTTTTTCTTGGGACCAACAAGCCTTGCTTCAAGAACGTTACTGTTTTTTGTGCTTGTGAGGGGTGTCATTTTCGTAACACTCACTATGGCATGCTTGCGGTGTGCTAGTTACCTAAGGTCACGGCCAAAGTGCTCTTAGTTCCTTTATAGTCCATGTATGGGATAGTGTGAGGTCGAGCAACTGTTTAGGCTGCGTAAGAAAACGGTTACGTTATGTCAACCGAGTCCCAATCTATCATCTTCTCTTCTGATAATCTTCATCGAAACAACACGGCCGTATGTGTGCCGGGAGTATTCCCTGGCAGAGCTGGCTGCGGTCAAGGGAGATTGGGTAGGATAGGAAGTGGCAGCTTTGGGGATGTGTACAAGAGCATGCCCTCCCATGATTGCAACCAAGCGTGGGCCGTCAACGAGCTCAAGTGCTGACCAACGATTTCCAAACAGAGGTATGTTTCGAGTAACCGACCAGGTTTAGATTATTACTTGTTGGTGTCACACACAAAATTCATTGCTGAGTGGAAAATTTCCTTTCCTTTCACATGTCGTCGCTGAGGGGTGTCTTTCACGTGAAGTGTGTTGGGTTGTTTGGGACTTGCTGAGCACTGTGCATTTCAGCCGTCGATTTGTAGCAAATTTTCATCGGATGGCCTGCGAGCCACCTGTGTTCTAGAGTGAGCAAAGGCCTAATTGCAACCGTCGGAATGGTTGGGCTGTGAATAGCCCTCTGATGTTTTCACAGGACAAAGTCCATGTAACAAAGTGTTTGATAGCACAGCGGAAGTCTTGAGTGAACCCTTGTACTGGTATGTGAGAACAAGTGATTGATTATAGCAGAGGGATACAAGGTTCATACAATAATACAAGAGAACATGAAGAGTCTAACTATTTATGCAGGACTCGATAAGAGCGACTCGGGTAGCCACCCGTACTGTAATACCGGGACGGTTATTTTTCCTTGCTGTTGCGCTGACTTGATTCTTGTACTTGGGTTGCACGGTCAACGGTCTGTGACCGTTGCCCTTTCATAACTAGCGAGATGTCGTCAGCCTGCGTCAACCGTCGGAAGTATTGTAGCAGGTTTTTACTCGTCAGTCCTCGATGTTGTGGTCTTCGTGTATTGTTACAACACGCAAGACTTGTAAAATGCTCTTAAGTCTTTTTATCGTTTCCAACACCCTCCTTCATTTCAGGAGTGTCGATGTGGTCAAGGTTGCTGATGTGTTGCATTCCAGTCAGCAGCATGCAGTACTGGGACTTCGACTTCATCAGCTTCTTGGTTAAGTAGTCGGATGCCATTTTGGTGGTGGGACAGTAGGCGAATTGGAGACGCCCATGCTCGATCTCGTCTTTCATGAAGAAAAAATCGAAGCGAGGTGTCACAGGATCGAATGTCTCGAGGAAAGATTGCACTATCGATTGATAAAAGGCGCTTATATATTTCCAGAGTACATCACGTAACCAGGTTTATCCTATCCAATGGAATAGACCCTTCTAGAATATAGAATCACCCTCCGTATAGCCACGCGAGGCTATTGGCTTTAAGGGATTACGGTAGGATTACGCTGGATATAGCGTGTCAGTACATCCCAAGCCTCGTCGGTGATATAATAATAATAGCAGGATAAACTAAAGGATAATGGAAAATGGAGAATAGGAAACCAAATGAGATGGGATAAAAAGAGAAATGAAATAGGAAGAAAATAAGAAAAGGCCAAGTGGTGTAACGGGGTCGTACTCTCACACTTCCCCCCCTCAAAGCTGGGTGGTAGAAGTAACACCCTGCTTAACAAGGTAGTCATGCAGAGGACGACGGGCGTGACCCATGTCGGACTTAGGTACCCAGCTGTCCTCAGAAGGATCATAGCCATTCCAACGAATAAGAAGCTCCACGGTGCCATTCCAACGACGGCGGTGTGCAATTACGGACTCGACCTCGTACTCGGGTTCATTCTGGACGAGGACGGGCGGCGGTGGCGGCGGTTGGCGTCCGACGAAGATCGTGTTCGGATCTTGATAGGGCTTCAGAAGTTGGACATGGAAGGCATTGTGAATCTTCCAAGTAGCTGGCAGGCGTGAGCGGCAGGATTGCGTCATGACCGCTGGTGGTAGGTGGCAACCCGGTGATAAAATCCAGGCTAACCACTAGCCATGGTTGTTCTGGGACAGGAAGAGGCTATAGCAGTCCTGCCTTCTTCTGCTTGCTGCTCTTCATCCGCTGACATGTATCACACGAGGTGACGAATTTCTGAACATCCCCTGCCAAGTGGGGCCAGTAGTAGTGCTTTGCGATACCGGTTAGCTTCTTGTTGCTACCAAAGTGTCCGGCGTTTAGGACGTCATGGTATTCTTCGAGTAGTAACTGGCGCAAAGGAGGGTAATTGGGTACCCAGATTTTTGTTGACCCTTTCCGGTACGCGATGTCACTGTCCCACTGTAGTAGGTGTCGCTTTTCTGCCAAGGGTATTTCAGGGTCGATGGTGTACCCGTGTGTGAAGAGTCCCCTGAGTAGTGGATTTCTCCCTTCAAGCTGGATGGCGGCAACGTGTGTAGGCCGGCTGAGGGCGTCCGCTTTGTTTTTGTGGCCGAGCTTGTACATGATGTCGTAGTGGAAGTGTGTCTCGAGAAAGCCAATCCACCGAACCTGTCGCCTGGAAAGGTTGGGTTGTGTCTTCAAATATTTTAGGCTGCAGTGGTCGGTGTAGACGGTTGTTCGTCGTCCTTCGAGATAACATCTCCACGCTTTGAAGGCGATGACGATGGCAAGGGCCTCTTTGTCGTGTATCGAGAAGTTTAGTTCTGCCCCGTGTAGTTTCTTACTCAGGTAGGCGATTGGTTGCAGTCCATTCCCATGGTCTTGCATCAAGACTGCTCCCACTGCCTGGTCGGTGGCGTCAGCTTCGATA